GTCAATCACGTCAGAAGCGCGCAGAGTACTCCGAGAAGCCGATTCCGAGTGTGGGTTCACCAGGTTCGCGAGAAAGATCGCCGGAACGATTTTCGCTCACTCGGTCTCAGATTTGCATCGCTCCGAGTGGCTCTACGAATTGAGGAATAACCAGGATCTGGCTTGAACTTCCATCGCATGCGGGATAGAATCCGCAGAATCTCGCGGCATTCGGAGCGCGTTCTCCGGAAAGAGTCTATGGCACTCGAAAAGTCCCGCGAATTTCCGGGAAATATCCCTAGAAGAACGCTCAGACCTATCCAAGATCGTGGGCCTGGGAGCAGACCTGGAATCGGTTGGCCTTCCAGCACCTTCAGGGTAGAAATCCTCATGTGTGACTCCGACGGAGATCTCTCAAGTTCATTCCCTGAGCGAGAAACTTACATCGGCAACTGTCTTGAGACATGCTCCTAGATTCGCACGGATGAATAATTTCCAAGTATCTCGGTGTCGTTCTCGAAGTAAGGGCGTCAGGAACATGATTCTGCAGCGGGCCTCTGGATGATGAGCCGCTCGAAGGATTTCCCGGGAGCGTCATTCACCATCGAACGGAATATGTATGTGAGGAATTTCTATGCAGAGATTCCGTCGTTTGGATCTGCGGAGCACGTTTCTGTCGCCCTTCCTTTGAATTTTCGGTTTCCGGCGGCTGGACCCTTTCTACTTAAGTCTGAACATGAATCAGAGACCCTAGAAGGAAAGTCAAACTCGCTCCGATGTAGGTAAGTCTTCCCCGGCGGGAACGGAGAATACTCTCGTCATATACGACGATGGCCATATAGGGCGTTCCTGAAGGCTTCGTGCGGAGCGAATCGCGATTTTCCACCTTAGTTGCTTTCGCTCCGAGAGCGAAATCTCCTTCGATGGCGACGACGAGAAGAAACTCGAGGGAGGAAGTAAGGAAGCTCTAGTAAAGAAGAATTCGCTTAAATCGAAAAGCTCCTTGAAAATCTCGACCACCAAACGAAATTTATGCCGAACACGTGACGCCTCGGCGCTCTTCACTATTCAGTCACCTGGAAATCTTGAAACCGGAAGCTTTTTCCCTTTCGTTTCTTTCGGAGGGACTTAGATGCGCACGAAAACCTACATATATGGGTGCGATGAGCTTTGCTCCTCTCCCGCAAGCGGAAGAGAATAAGAGCTCGAATGTCCACGACTGGGGCTGACGGCCTCCAGATAGATATATGTCCAATCCACCTACTCCGATGTGGAGTAATGGGGTCCAAAGCGGGCTTTTGTCCGCTGAATCAGCGGGAGGGAGGAGAGCTGCGAGGCGGCAGACAGAGACAACCCGAAATAATGGTTCTCTTGACGACTTACGGTCTTGCTATGACGAACTCGTTGTCTTCCGCTCTTCACGTCGTAGTCACCACTATTTCTAAAGCGGGACACCGCCTGCCCATTCGACCGCCGTCAAGCGTGGAAGTCGCGTATTTAGCCGCCGCTCGAGAGCATCGACTTCACACCGCAATTTACCGACAGATACTTGTTTATTTATTCCACGGGAACGTAAGACAGGCGGGAGCCGCATATAATATGGTGTGATGAATTAGTGCAGAGGAACATTCCTCCCCACAGTGTTCCGACAGCGGATGGATGGGGTGGGCTATGGGCGAGCAAGCGGACCCTGAAAGACTTCTTGGAAATAGAAGTGACGCTCGCCGATGCTGAGGTCAAGGAGTAGACAGTTCTAGATGATTAGGACCTGGCGAAGGGGAGCGGTCCGAGCAATGTCGAATCGACGCTCGGTTTTGCGAAGGCGGCTGACAGACGAGCGAACAGGTCTGATCTTGTATTCAGAGCGAGCCGGATCTTGTTCTGGGGGAATAGGATCCTGACATAGTCGATTTGTTGAAAAACAACAGGGATGAAGACTCATTCGACGAGCGTGTCGTCCAAAACCGAATAGTATTCAAGAACGCAATCAGGATCTTGAATCCGATGGAAATGGAATCGATTGCGATTTGGAGGCACGTCGAAGACATCTGGTGACGGATCTCGGGCGGAGCCGTTTTCTTCCGAGAGCTTCAGGAGCAGTTTTCCCAGGTGCCACTTATTCGGACTCCGGGAGGCACCACGAATCACATAGGAAGCAGAAAACACGTGAACGGGAGAGAAGGAACAAGAGCATTGACTTTCCCACGAATTCATGGCCCGACTGAAGTCTCTGTCCGAGAGCAGCCGTCGATGCATCGCGCTGCGGCTCTTAAATCCAGGGAACAAGGAGTCCCGAAGTCCCGCACTATCCTCAAAAACTACCGTGACCCACCGATGTTCCACCTGCCCTTTCTTGGGTCCCACATTCTAAAGAGAAGAGGGTCCAGTGTCCGGGATTCGTACCTTCAGTCAGACGATTCCTCGATTTCTGCCGTTGTTTCTGATCGTGAGCTACCTATACACGTAGCGCCCCTGGAAAGCCTCGAAATTCGTTCCCAACCGTGCTGTGCCAGCTCAGTCTTGTGATTCAGAAAACGTTCCGATCGAGATTGAGTAGAACGATGGAACCCTCGGAAGCCGATCATCCGGGATGGTATCGAATCGCTGTGAGACCGATGGTATCCGAGAGTCATACATTCACTCCAGAGCCTTCAAGGAGGACTCGTCATGCATCTATCTATGTATGTTCATATGTGTCTAGGTGGTCTCTATTCCACGTTAAGTTGTGACTCGCCCCCTTCCAATCCCGCATCCAATGCCAGGAGACTGTGAGAACTTCCAGGAGACCCAACCTCGTCGAGAATCCTGCGTACGGACGAATTCCAGGAGAACAGACCCGATTTCGGATGCCGGCGCTTTCTGGGAGAACCCCATTTCATCTCTAGGACTCCCGTTCTAGCTGCGATGAGAGATGTCGACACGTCTGAGTGCAGATATATTCGCCACGAGGGAATTTCAGGAACGAATGCCCCCACGAGAGAACGATGTCTCCCATCTTACTTTATTCGGGAATCATCACAAAACGAACGGATAATGAAAAACCTCCCTCGTCGCTCCGCTCAACCACGGCGAAGGACGACAGTTAGCGCTGCCGTTTAGGCTAGCGCAGCAATTTGAAACAACTCACAAGTTTTCTCTCTCGAGCTTCCCTCGTACATTGGACAGTCAGAGAAGCCCCAATTATTCGCTACCGAATTCAATAGTGGGCTTCGTCACGAGACGGATAGTTTTCCCAAACGGATGCGGTTTTGCGAGCATTAAACTATACTGGTTCGCCGATTCGACGTCCGGGTCTTCATTGGACTCGCCGTAGTCGACGGTAATATCATAGCTGCCGCCACGGTTCTCCTCGAACTCGACGTCGGTTCGTAGTTCACAATGTGCCCGGAGTTTGATGCTGACACGCGAGAGCAGGACCACGCTCGAAGGTGGGGGTTCTTGGCTGCACTTGTGCTGAATGACTTGTCCTGCTATGGCAGGATCACACCAGATGACAATGCCATCAGCTTCACAATCCTTTAATGCCTCCAGATCGAAGCGCAGCGAGAATCTCTTGACCGTCGACTCGTGGTTTTTCATCGATGCCATTGGTATTGTTTCCTCGTCTGTCTCGCTCACAATCTCCATCTCTTCATCATCGAAACCGATCTTTGGAATCTTGAATTGCTCCTCGTGAGCGTGGAAGTACAATGGCGAAGTATCGATTCCGAAATGCGTGGAGCGCCAGGGTTTTGCGTTCTCTTCTTTCTCTTCCCTCAAACGCTGGGCCCTGATCAAGGCCGCCCTGAAGATAAGTTTCGTCGGCGCCACTCGGTGTGGATGAGCGAGCTTCGAGTCCCGGAACCTCAAGAACCTCGCGAGAATTTCCGTGTCGAACATGAAGAGATGAAGTCTCCCGCTTACTAGGAGCGAGGCTCGAACGGCTTTCAGTTGATCGGCTTCGGCGTCTTCGACCAGCGTGACTCGGTCCCAGAGTTCCTTGATGCGGAATCCCCCCGGCAAGCATTTCAAACCTGGTCGGGTCACAACGATAAGCTTCGCAGTACAATAAGACAGGATGTATGTCGACAAAATTCCGAGTCCAGCGTCGAGTTCGATTATGGTGTCTGCAAACACCATCAGATTTGTCTCTGCCAGTCTCATCGCGAACGGCTGCTCGCGGCTGTCCATCCTGATCCAGGCTTCTTCGGTCGTGATAGGATCGATGAATTCGAATTGGTGTCTCCACAGCTTCGCGACATGAGTGAAATCATCGCAGCGTTTCGCGCTTTCAAAAAAGAAAAAGCAGGACATACCATCAAGATCCGAGAGAAGCGAACAAAACGCATTGATTTCTTGGACAATCGCGTTCTCTTTGAACTTGATACAACATTCCGTGGATTGGGGGGGATTGATTGATGAGTTACAAATGGTAATACATATCTGACAGTTGACCACGTCGCGCTTGAGTAGCAGGAGACAGGAATCAACACCCTTCGGTGGGCCGACGGTCCACGTTCGGCCGCTTCTGGAGATGCAGTGAATACTCACACAGCCTTTCACTGGATGACCTAAATCTGGAGACTGTTTGAGCGGTCCCCTTGCGGTGCTAGGCGTGTCATCCTCGGAGTATTCCATCACTTCGCCGGATCCTTCCATACCGACGAAACTATTTGCGGGTACTGACAGGGACTCCGACGAAGGCTCTGAGAGACTGCTGTCTTGCTGCGAGGATCGGGAAAAACTCCGAGGACGGGTCCGGTTTCCCTGGGATCTTCGAACTCACATCGGTCAGATGAGATCCTCTAACCGCAGTCCCTGTCGACGCTCTGCCGCGCTACGCACAGCTCTTTCAGAACGTCCTCGCATTCTCGGAAACGTGCACGCTTGGCCCTCTCTCGGTCGGGGCTCGAGCTGCTGTTTAGATTCGGTTCCGTCTTGACAGTGAACGCCTAGACGAGTGGAATTCCAGTAGTTTTGTGGTCACCATCTCGTCTCAAGCGACCAATAGGCTCGACGGGAATTCCAGAAAAAGTCGGATAATGGCTCAGGCAGCCCCCGTGGCCGAAAAAGCTCCGCCTCTCAAAAAGTACCTGCACGAAGCATTCTGGGTTCGTGTCGCAAGGTTGTTCTTAAAAAGCGCCAGAGATGATGAAGGATTCTGCAGGGCCAAGTTCATCTTCAGAAGGGAAAAGCTGGTGTTAAAGCTTACCAAAAAGAACTCACCCCCGGAAACGCTTCCACCTCACCCCAGAACGTCCTACGGGGTCTCGCGTTTCGCTTGTAAATTTCCGAGCGGAAACGTGCCGAGACCAGTCGTCGTCGAAGTGATCGAATCTTCTGCGAGAAAACTTGGTAGTCACTCCATTTTCATAGAAGGCAAGAACGCCAGCAAAGCGGACCAGTATATTCTCCATTTCGCGAAAACTTCGACCTGTGAACGAGCGGCCGACATACTAGAAGCTTATCGAGCCAGGAAGAGAAAGCAGTTCCGACCTTTTGAGCATTACGATTATCTCTTCAATCAACTCGTGCACTTGAACGAAAAGAATCGACTCAAGGCGTTCAGGGAGGCGATTCTGGGCAATCCCAGCGACTTCCAGCAGAAGACAGTACTCGTGATCGGCTGCAGTCTCGGCATTCTCGGCTTCTTCGCAGCTGAAGCCGGTGCCAACGAAGTCTATGTCGTGGATCCAGCGGACGTTTCAGCTCACGTGGAGATGCTGCTCCGAGCAAATACCCATTTGGCCTCGCACAAGATCAAGCATTACCAGGCCCGAGTGGAAGCGGTCGAACTCCCCGGGAAAGTCGATACGATCGTCTGCGATAGTTTCGGGGACATGATGCTCAACGGGCAGATGCTGAGAAGTCTCATCATTGCGAGAGATCGCTTTCTGATACCGGGCGGCAAGATATTCCCTTCGCATGGAACCTTGCTCATGCGCCCCATCCGCGAGGAGATATTGGATGGGAATTTTTATCGTATCTGCAATAATATCCGGCGACGCGGAGGCGGGCTCTTGTCGCCTGACCACCTTGAACATCGACTCAGTTGGGAGTATCACGGTCGTCCAGAGCTGTTGCAGCGCCAGCAGCCGCCGTCTTCCCCGACCTGTCATGAGGAGACATTTGACTTCAAGTCCATAACGGCTGAGAGCCTCCGACTCATAAGTTTCCATTACAACTCCGACGGGAGCAAAGACATCCAGGGCTTCGAATTCAGCTTCAAGCTAGTTTTCAACGGTTCCGAAAACTATACCGTTTTCAATACTGAGTACGAAGGCCAGCCGACTCGGTGGTTGAATGTGCTCTGCCGTTCGGACCCCATTGGAACGGTTGCCCACGGGAGACAGCCGGAGACGTGCGATCTCTTGGCGAACGAGCATCATTCGTACGACATCAGAATCTTCACAGAGCCCGAAGTGAAACAATTTGGATTGACGATGAAGTTCGGATCTTCGATAGTTCAGAAGATCTGAGGAGAAAAGCATGCGGCGATCCACCAATTACGAGGCTCGATTCAAAATTTCTATTCCCCATCAGAGACTTCAATTTGTGTTATGGAGGAGCTCTGATGAGATAGGCCCATACATTTTGCTCTGCTGTCATAATTAATTTTATCGTTACATATGTTCAGACGCCTGCTCCATGCGGCGTCGAGGTGAGATCCCCCACAGATCTAGCGAAGGAAAGTGAAAAACGCGTTCAACTATTGGTCAAGTTGAATAAATTATACAATGTTTTGTGTTTTCGACCGAGCGTTTTCCAAGGTTCAAGATCTACAGAGTTTGGTCTGCAGCCTGATCAATGGAAAAACTAGTATCGATTCATGTCGCGTCTGCATATGGCCTGAAAATATTCCTTTCCTCACCTTCGGCTCTTCGGTCGCGGTTCGGGCTCCGGCGCGACGCTCGAACCTTTGACCGATTCACGGGGAAACCCTGCCTGCCGGGGGTCACGAATGACGATGACGAATGACGCCAATGTCAAGTTTCGTCAATCGCGTTGGGAACGTTGTTGCGGAGAAGAGGCTGGGGAAGGGTCACACGTCCCTCGGGAGTCTTTATCCGTTCCTCTCGATCTAAGCCGCGATAGCGATCCAGACCGACTCCCGAAGTCCCGATTCATCACCGGGTACAGAAGCGTCAGATTTCGACGGTCCGACCTCGGAATCCAGCTCCGAGGCGAAGGGACTATCGTGGGCGGCAGGGAGATCCCAACGGCACTTCAGAGGCGCATCGCAAAAGACCCTCCATTGGAATCGTATCATACACTCGACTCCGACACTCCTCTCTGCGTTCATCGGGCCGAATTCATGCGGATATCTCCCTAGTTTGAGGAAGTATCTAAACTCAGTCACTTCCTCACTGATTCTGAAATATCCGAGGATCTGAGCCCGACCGAAGTAGGGTCACGAGGTGCGTCATGTTGGTGTAGGTCAAATAAGTCCCTCTCGTTCTTCACGGTTCCTAGATATGCGAATGGAGCCATGGCAGTCGAGGAAGGACCATGTTACCATGTCGATAAGCTCGGTTTATTCGTCGCTCCTGAAATCTGGACCTCAATGTCGCCGCCGTTGCTACTCTTCGGCATCCCAAATAGGAATCAGCCACTGCCAATGAAATTAAGACGTTCGGAGAATAGGTCCCGATTCCTCAAATTACCGAAGGATGCTAATCTGAATATACCCGTTTTCTCACAAAGGCTGCCCATCAACGGAAAAATCCTTGATGTGGAAGTATCGATGCGGAAGTGCCGGCGGTGAGGCAACTTCATTGTGATTCTCTCCCGGAGACGCTGACCGATCTTTGCTCGCCAGACGCCGAAATTCATGAACTCAATCGAAGGGGATATTCTCTTTGTCCAACGAGCTGGGGATCATCGTACCTGCCGAAGAGATTCGTGGATGGAAGATTTCATCCGCCAATATATCATGCTCAATGCGAGTGTCCAAGGCATCCTGGATCCTCCCACCCGGAGCTCACTCAAATTATCACCTGCGAGCCCTCAGGGAACTGAATTTTCCGCAGCACGCCGAATCAAGGGCAAATCATGAAAACGTAATCTATCCAAAGGAAATCGCAGTATTCGATTCCGCCCGGAGAGACCGAAAACACAGGTGCGAGCGATAAGGCTTGGCGAGGTGTAAACTTTTGGAACTTCTAAAACCGGGAATTCGCCTTACAGATTTCGCGAGATTCGGGACTTAATCCGAAAACCATTGTTTTGGCAAAGGTGGACAGCTCATGAGAGCGATCAACAAGACATGACGCAACATGATGTGCATGAAAGTGTTTTAGTTTGGGTGGTAAGAGTGATCGTATCTGGCTGAGATCAGATCTTATCTTCACGAGATGGAGTTTTCCTAAAGAATGCTTGGACTTCTATTCGGCCTTTGGCAATTGTTAGCTTGCAAACAGTGACGCTGGTGCGGTCAGTTTTGAACTTGAACTGGCGAGAAGTCCCTAAGCTTCGGATGGGATCAGGCCAAAGTTGTCGACTCACATCGGCCGTTTGATATCGCTCGTAGTGATCGTAACTCGAACGATCTCTCTCGGCACGGTCCGTCGACGGCTTCGCGGGAACATTTCGGAGGAGTTTTCGGGTCGCATTGGTGTCGGGAGGAGGAGCAGAGCGAGGATAGACACGAACTCGCGGACGTCCCTGTCCGTCGGACCAGAACTCGAACTTTGCACGGAGAAAAAGTCTGGACCAAACTTTCAAAGTAAAGTTGGAGTTTCATTCAGCCGAAAGTCAGGTAAAGTTCCTTCTCGATCGCAGAAAACTGCTTCTAGTAGTAGGTATCAAATCTTGGGTGAGACCAAGGCTCTGCGAACATCGAAAGAATCGCGGTAAAGAGCTTGTTTCCACTAGTTGACATGAAATGAAGGTGCGGTGCCGTGCGTGGAGTGGCATACTTTTTCCGCGCGTCACCTCGATGCGCAGCTTGCACAACACTCGACAGCTCAGTGAGCGACTCCTCCCCAACCGATACGTGAATTCCACGAGCGTTAAACAGCGATCGAGTGCCGGATATGAAGACCTCCGAGACATTTTCTTGGGGACCGTAAGGAATAATTACGCGCGTGAGTTGGATCTACTTATTGACGTGAAAAGTTCGCTCTATCACGGGGCTTCCACTCAGGTTGACATGAGCCTTCAGACCTTAAACAGGCATCGTTCAGAATATTCTGGGAGTTCCTGAAACTTCTCGACCGAGATTCGATGCCAGTCGCCGAAGATGAGATGTTTCAATTGTCTGCCCTGGAAGTTTGGCTCAGAATCCGTGCGGAGACGCGCAGGATGTTACCGACAGCCGAAAGAGTACCTTATAAGTAACGCTGCCAATGCTCTATTCTCCCGATTACTCCTCCAGCTTCGATTCCGATAGCCCGGAGACCACCGGAGGACTCCGTGGACTCCATGCCTCACCTTCAGAGCCTAGAATTTACTCGAGCTATTTCGACCTGGGACGCGGACCCAATCTTGCCTGGAGTCGGGAAAATTCCGGAATCGCCAGTTCCTCTCGGCGGGATGGACGCCCATCATGGCGCCCGAATTTCGCCAGAAAGACCCGAACGACTCCTCCGAAGCTCGATCTATGGGGAGCGCGGTACGGTCCGATGTGACAGCGGTTCGGATTTGGCGCCATCCGCGTCGCTCAGCCGACCGCCGCTTTGGCGGCTAGACAGTTGAGCCAACTCTGGCAACAGTGTCACTCTGTTTGTTATTTGGAATGCTCAGGAGAAAATCATGGCAGAGTTCACCCACGTTGGCAAACATTGTTCACAAGAAACCTGCAATGCGCTCGGTCAGTTGAAATCCTCCCCGATGACTCGGTCGGTGAAGTTGTTTCCGCAATGGTTCAAATCCGAGATCCGTTGCGTCTGAGTCCGAGCGCACAAACACTCCACGCCATGCTACCTGACTGGCAGACAGGGTGGCAGGCATGACTTCCATGTCGTGCTCATCAAAACACGAACGCGTTTTTTTTTGGACCGCCAGAGCCCGGGGGCTGACTCGGTTCATGGCGCGATGACAGGATGGTCTCTTTTGTGGAAAAGTTTAGAAGCTCCGGGAAAAGTAGCTCGCACGCACATCGACATACGCCTTGCCCTCCCCAGCGGCGAACCAGCAGTCACTGAGTCACCCTGCTGTTGTTGGTGCTGCATTTGCCGTTTCGGTCGGAGCGTATTCGCGAGGATGTGTCTCGTATTGGGATCCGGTCTTCCGGCCAAGTGATAGATGCCGCTTTTGAGTGTCTTCCGCCGACGTATACAAAGCGCTCCGACGACTCTAATGTCTCCCATCATTCTTGCAGATTTCCTCCCTATCTGCTGCGTGTTCTGCTCACGGATTTTCTGGTGAGTTCTCAAAGCTGCATCGTTCAGATAATCTCGCTCAGGACGCTCTTTACGGATAGGGCAAGCCGAAGTTTCCCGAAATTACGGTGTTTTCCATCGTCCACGAGCGATGAATTCGCCCCTAGTAGACTAGAGACCTTGTGGAGCGCTCGACCGTGACTCATTGCGAGAGTCTGACGGTGGAGTACCCAGCTTCGAGGTCGTCATAGTCGAGCTTCGTAAAAAACTCTAGACAGACAAAGTTCGGAGCTTTCAACACCGCCCGGGACCCGAACCGGGGGCCCGGCGGCGGGGCAAGATCCCGTATCGGTAGAGCGAAGGGATTTCATCGTCATCATTGGCGCTTCGCAACTTGAAGCTCTCGGAGGAATTTGCAAGTCGTCCCGGAAGAGGCTACCTAGCCGAAGACCCCCGCCCCCTATAACTCCACCCCCTCCCGCTCCCGAGATCAATGAAGAGAAGATTTGTGACTGGCCTTGCATGCAACCGGATGGCACGCGCGGTGGTCACAAGTCACGAAACATTGCTCACTCTCGATGCTAGTAGGCTGCTGACTAACCGTGCTGTCGTTATCCGTTGCAGAGTGACCAGTAGAACGAGCCATCATGCCGCCGTCGTCCGGCGAGCTCTACACGTTCCACATGATGTCAACAGAGGTGTTGGTAGATTGCCTTCTACCATCGGGCATCATCGTGCCTCTGAAATGCAATCGGGAGGCCACACTCCGCCAGATAAAGGAGAATCTCTTCAACGAAGCACAATACTACCCGCTGTTCTTCATGTTGAAAGAACCAAAAATCTACGTTTTTCGGTCGATACTCCTCTCCTCCGACTGCTCGGAGTTCTTCGACGAGACCAGACGTCTCTGCGACTTGCGGCTCTTCAAGCCCATGCTCCAGCTCGTTGAGGCGGGATCCAACGCCGAAGAGCAGAAAATCGAGGAGGAGATCCACCAGGCCGTGGGCGGCTACATACGTGACTTCGCGAACGAAGACGACGACGAAGTTGTCAGTTTCCGGAGGAATATCATGATGTCCTGCGGGAGAACGGTCACCAAGCGTGACCGGGGGAGCGTCGACGACAAGCTCGGCTACATCTACCCACCCGACATCGAGGTGAATGCGGAGCTCCCAATGAACGTCGCTCTCTCACCGAAAGGAATTTTCGAAGTCAACGTCTGGGTCAGCATGGGCAACGACAAGCACGATCCGTGCCTCGTGCCGGTCACCGTGGACATGACACCGCAGTCTCTTCTCAGCAGAACGGTGGCCTCTTGCGCGAGCGCATCCCGGATCGACTTCGAAAAAGAACCTCATCTGATCAAGGTTTGCGGGATGAACCAGTACCTGCTCGGTGAGCAGAGACTCATTCAGTACAAGTACATCCGCGAGTGTTTGGTCAAGTCGTCGGTGCCGCAGCTGATCCTGGTGCCGAAGAAGAAAGTCTACGACAACATTCCGGACTCCGGTTTCGTAATGCCCGCCTACGCTCGACGGAAAACCGGGGCGGACCTATCCACGACGCAGTCGCTCTACCAGATCAACGATAAATTCAAAGTCAGGATCATGTCGGCCTATTATCTGAACGTGAGCAACGTCGACAAGGTTTTCGTGCGAACAGGAGTCTACCACGGGCCTGAAATGCTCTGCGAGCACCAAGAACCAAAAAGGTCGACAACAGCTGCCCGGAATGGAAACAGCTGCTGAGGTTCAATCTCGACGTGCCGGATATCCCGCGGAGCGCCCGACTCTGTTTGTCTGTTTGTGCGGTCCTGAAGAAAAGTCGCGAGAGCGTCCTGATCGCTTGGGCGAACATTCCGTTGTTCGATTCCAAGAACGTTCTCGTGAGCGGCAAAATGAACCTGTCGCTGTGGCCCGTCCCCAAGGGCATGACCGACCTGCTGAATCCTTTGGGCACGACCGCGAGTAACAGGAAGAGTGAGAGCGCCGGTCTGCTGATCGAGTTCGATAAATACTCGCCCAACGTTCGCTATCCGATGTTCGAGGAAGTATGTGCCAGCGGTGTGCGCTTCACTGAGACCCCTGGAATTCCGACGCGGGCTCAGGTGGACCAGCTGCACGACATCATCAACAGAGACCCTCTCTACGAATTGACGGAACAGGACAAGGAACTGCTGTGGGAGTTCCGATACTATTTACGAAAAAACATCCCGAACTCGCTGCCGAAACTCCTCGACTCGATCATGTGGAACCAGCGACGGAGAGTCAGCGAGATCTACCGACTTCTCAAAGAGTGGCCGTACGTGTCCCCGGAAATCGCCCTCGAGCTGCTCGACTGTAAATACCCCGATTATTTTGTGCGAGAACGCGCCGTGCAGTGGCTCTGTGATATTCTTGCCAACAAGGTTCTGGCGCAATATCTCCTGCAGCTGGTGCAGGTGCTCAAATTCGAGCCGTACCTGGATAATCCGCTGGGCACTTTCCTACTAGAACGATCTCTCCTAAACTATAACATTGGTCACTATTTTTTTTGGCATTTGAAGTCCGAAATGCACGATCCCTCGGTCGCGCTGAAGTTCGGTCTGCTGCTCGAGGCCTTCTGCCGCGGCATGGGCTCCCATCTTCGGGCTGTTGTGAAACAGGTGGCCGCCCTGGACAAGCTCACCTTGCTCACCGAAGCGCTCAAGTCGGACGCTTGCAAGGACAAAAAAGCGTTCTTGGAGAAACAATTGCAACAACAGGATTACATGGAGGCGTTGGAGAATCTCCAATCGCCTCTGAACAACGCTCTCACGCTGGGAACCCTCATCCCGAACCAGTGCCGGGTCATGAGTTCGGCGAAGAAGCCGCTCTGGCTCATTTGGAGGAACCCCGACTTCGCCGGGGACGTTGGCACCCTGCGACACCATCAGCTCATTTTCAAGAACGGCGACGATTTGCGTCAAGACATGCTCACCCTCCAAGTCATCCGGATCATGGACTCGATCTGGAAGCGAGAAGGCCTCGACCTTCGCATGATGCCGTACGCGTGTCTGTCGACCGGGGAAAACGTCGGCATGATCGAGGTGGTCAAGAACGCGATGACGGTGATGGACATTCAGAGAACGGGCCGCCTGTCGAAGTTTCAGTTCGACTCCAATCAGCTGCACCGGTGGATCAAGGAGAAGAACGAGGACGAGACCCGATACACGCAGGCGGTCGAGACGTTCACGTACAGCTGCGCTGGCTACTGTGTCGCGACGTTCATTCTCGGGATCGGCGATCGAAATCCCGATAACATCATGGTCAACGAGGACGGCCAGATATTCCACATAGACTTCGGGCATTTCCTGGGACATTTCAAAAAGAAGTTCGGCATCAATCGGGAACGTGTGCCGTTCGTACTTACCGAGGACTTCCTCAAGGTGATCGCTCGCGGCGAGGATCAGCCAATCAAAAGTGTTCATTTCACCAACTTCCAAACACTTTGTTTCAAGGCGTATTCACTACTGCACAAGCATTCGCGGCTCTTGATTACGTTGTTCACGATGATGCTGTCGACGGGCATCCCGGAACTGCAGAGCATCGAAGACATTGGTTACATTCGGAAAACGCTGCAGGTCGAAAAGAGCAGCGAGGACGCTTTAACGTATTTCCAGACGCGACTGAGCGAAGCCTACGACGGCGCTTGGAGCACCAAGATCGACTGGTTCTTCCACAGTGTGAAACACATGTGAGACACGCACACTTGCACCGATCGCGCGATTTTAGCCCGGACCCAGCGATAGGACTCGTAGATGACGAAAAGTGTTGACAGTACGGGATTCGCTCGGATACCGGCTCGTGAGCCGAAAGACGGTCTGGTGGACAGATGGGTGGACGAGCGAATCGGGACGATTCTAAGGGAAATTACGGAAGCATAGCCGAAGGAGTTGCTGGGACGGGAGGGAAGATCGAGCGATGATTCGGGAGTTTGTATAGTACCGCGTCGGTGGGGCCGAATCGGAGATCAAGGGACTATCTGATCGGATGCAACTTCTCTAATTCTTGCGGGCCCTGTGACCTCCTCATCCGTTTGCCTCTGCCTGCTCACTTTCCGTCGATGTCTGACCTCAGATGATGTTCGTTGAAGTTATGGAGTGAGGAACTCTTGTACAGGAAATTGTATATACGCGAAGGGAAAAAGAAAAAACTTGAGATGCGAACAAACTGCGGACGAACGTCGGGAACCACGTTTATATATTTACTTACACATATTTATCTTTATATTTTGATCCCTGTGTACTTCTGGGCATTCTCTAGATGTTTTTGGAAGCGGAGGCAGACCGGGGATTGGTCCGGGGAGGACGACTGGAATTCAATATTCTCGGAAGGGGTCAGAACAGGTCGTTCAGAATAATTCCTTCACCGCAAAACCGAATTATTTGGCGATCGGTATAGTGATCGAGTCGCTGATATGTCGTGAATGCAATGTTCATCCGGAGGTTATTCGGTACTGATCTTCGTGGGGAAAGTTTTGAGAATCAGTTTGTTATGCCTGCTGCTGCGCTGGAATGAGATCCGGACGACGAGGTTGGACGCGCCTCGTCTCGTAACTGTGATAGGCCATGTGCCGCTAACGTCAGATCTGATGATTCCTGTTATTTGATGCTCTCTACGTGAATGAAGTTTTTAGAACATCGATCAAGTGTATGTGTAGGGTGAATTTAAACACGAAATCATCATCACGACCCCTCGGAATTCATTTGAATCATGTGAAGTATACACACGAAAAGAATGAAAGAGAAATATCTTATTTACAAAGAACATTCATGAGTCTGTCTTCATTTATCCGTCGATTATGCCCCCTGAATATAGATCTCTTAAGCCTCTCCGGTGGTTTTGTCGCTTTTCGTCATCGATCCACTGATGTGAATATCAGGGGACGATTTCCCTTCACTCCCATTCCTAGGGAGAATCTCTCGTTCCCAGGAAGAACTTCGCGTGAAATTTCGGCCTGCTCCGGAGTCCCGCATCCTGATATCACCTGTTGTGGAGTTGCTCCGGCCTCATGTCATTTTCGGCAAGTCGCTGCGGTGTTTCCGGAGCGCGACCGATACCCTCATATATCTCCGAGTTTGAGCTCTTCCGCTGAATGGATCAGATCAGAACCCCTCTAGATAAGCGAGATTTCATAATCGAGAGCTCAAGCGGGAGAGGAACCTCAACTCTACACCGTCTATCGCGGTCTTGCTCTCTCTCTGTCAGAATACGACCGATATCGCTGCTCCATATCCGTATCCTCCTTTCCCTACGCCTGCGCTCAGGCCCGAGCGAGAGATTCGCTCTCGCTCGGATTACCTCAAGAATTTCGAATACCTGTACTCCGATTTCCTCATTTTGTTTTCCAGCAAGGATCACTACAGCGCTCTCAAGCACTCGTGTGTGAATGACGTAAGCTGTGTCTGATTCTGCTCTATGGGAACGGCGACTGAATTATTTTCCGGTCGACTTCTGCTTCTCAGTGTGATGAATCAATAGCTTGCTCTCATCCTGCAGAAACGTCTCAGCGAAGAAGAGGTGGGGAGACTCCAGAAAGCCGGGATATCGCATTTCTGCTCATTTTCTGGCTGTCTGGGCAAGGAAGTCGTGGCCGTCGTGTGTCATTTCTGCGGAGTGAACTTCTGTCTGCGTCATAGACATCCTCCGGATCATGAGTGTCCGAAAGCACCGAAACCGACGGAGCACATGCCCAAGACCAAGGCGGTCGTCCAGGAGATTCTCGGTAAGCTCTCCGAGAGTACATCGCTCTCTAAATTCTCATTTCGAGTCCGATGTTCGTGCATCCCCTGAGAAGCTTCTGAGATGGGTCCGCGGAGCTGCAAAATCCGCGGCTCGTATCGGGGGACGTTTCTCGCTTCTATCTTCCTGCCCATTCATCGATCCATCCGAGTCAATGACGAGAATTTGGTCCGACTAGCAAAGCGAAATGCCCCCGCTGCGGCGCCAAAGAATGAGCTGAGCCCGACGGCGCGGAAGGTCAAGCTGATGAAGCTGAAACTGAAGGCGAAAGGCGATAAGGGACTCCCGGTCGGGGAACGATTCCATCTCGAAGTGAGGACACCTGACGGTCAGGAGAAACCTTTCTTCTTCTCGAAGGTAAGTCTGCCTCCTCCATTTCACTCGGACGGGGCGATTCTCGCGTCAATATATGTGGACGGGAGATCTTACTCGATGCTTCCTCCTCGGCACAGCTGTGGTCCATCGGGCGTTGCGTCGACTTCGTTTGTGATCTAGAGAAAATCGCCAACCACAACAATCGAGCCGACGCGAAGGTACCTGAATCATTAAGACTGGAACTCCTGATCTATAAATGACTCATGTGAGCATGTTCGATGCTCAGTCCCTGATAATGAGCTCGGTCTTTTCGCTCTATTCCAGAAGCTCCTGTTTCAGCTGGAGAACGAAGAAAGCACTCTCGAGATGAAGTGCATCCTACAGGACCTCATCGAGCAGAATAAACTCCAAGAGGCTGACAGGATCCTTCTCGCCTACCACGAGCCGGGAAAATGAATCCGACCAGCATCGAAGCTCCAATAAACCATCGTGTGTTTCTATTATTTCGTAGAGGAGCGAATTATTTATTATATCCCAAAGACGTTTTCTTTTCGAACTTTGGACACAAATTCAAACTCAGAAGGAGGTTCTCACCAGAAAGATATTGGGAATGAGTTTCTTGAAGGCTTAGCATGGAAACATTCATCCCGAATATGTTGGCCGGCGAACGCGGAAAGATGCAATCCCGCGGGAATCGCTTCACGAATCGGGATGTGGGTCAGGGATCGAGGGTTTTGTCTTTCCCTCAGCTGCACTAGTAGTAGATGCAGCGCACCCTGTGATAAGGAGTTGTTGCGTCCACTTCTTTCGCATGGGCTCTGCGGTAGCCCCAGAGATAGAAGTCTACCAGAATCGCATTCATCGGTGATCTGAATTCGCTCTGAAGAACATCGCGAATTTTCTGCGGAGCGAAAAAGCCTTTGGGATGGCACCCTCCACATAATCGACATACAGACTCAGGAGTTGTCTGCTGTGGGAACCCTACCTCGCAGGCGGATATCGTTGCTCCCCTGATTTCACAAACTTCGCGCTGCTCATTCTGCAGAAGAGCCCCACTATCCAAGAGCTTCCGCAGAGTTTCGCTGTAGATTATGACTCCGAAATGGGCCAAAATCTGCAGAGAGGGAGAGATAGCGGTGAGCGAGAGCCGTATGAGTCAGGGCGTCGGAGGCGTAGGTATATCTCATTCCCCTCCCCCTCGCATAGGACGAGGAATGGAGAGGATCGGATCGGAGAACCATCTGACCTGGGGTACTCGATAATCGGCGAAGCAAGTGACGTTATCGATGTTGTGGAACTCTCCATATGATTTCCCCTCGAAGCATGCCCAGAGGTCTGCGACAAGGATCTGAGCTCTCTTGTAGAACGAAACTGTGAGATGGAAGATAAGGATTTTTCAGATCGACCCGCTCCGATCGGCTGAACACTGTCCTGTCGGAATTCGATTTCTGGGCTCTACCTTGACGACCTTCGAAAACAGCTTGGTCCCTGAATGACGGGAACTCCGCTGTGACTAACCGCAGCAGCTTATCGACATCGTTTCCGCACTGCAGCAAACAGTTCGAAAACTTGCCGCCGTATTGCTGTCAGAAAAAAAAGGTCCGGGATTTAGTCTAGGGGGGCGCCGCTTCAGCACAGAGCCGGAAAGACGTGTAAAGCAGCGAACCTCGAGGAGTTTCCGTCCGGCCTGGTGTAGAATATTCAGTCTTTCGTCAAAGAGTGGAATTTCACTGTCATTGTGACCTCTGAAAACCTCCTTGAGCTTTTCCCTCGAGACGCTGGCGTAGAATGTCGCCGATGTGATTGGTACCGCATCCTGGAATCATGGTCGTGATTATTACCGTTCCTTCTCCGTCAAGAACGAATCGTGTCACCAAAACGGCTGATGATTTCCTCTTTTCCTTCGACACGTTTCCCCTGAACATGTCGAAGTTTCGAAGAATCCGCGCCATCGATCAAAAGACCATTGGAGACGAGCGACTCTCACTCTAGGGGGACTCGTTTCTAGGGACGGGGCCCTCGACGTGAACGTCCCGGCGCAAAAAGGAAACGCCACATCCGGTCCGCTTGGCGAACAAAAGATAAAGCTCCTGCTTACGCTCGCATCGACTATGGGCTGAGAGAATTGGAGGGATCTCCCTCACTGGGCGCTCATCCTCTTTCGCAAGTGCCGAGCTCGCCATCTTGCGACTTTGATTCCCTATCCGTATCGTAAGCTCGGACATTAATTCATTCCGGAGCTGGGGAAACTCGCTTTTGGGAATATGGGCCTGAAAACCGTGATCGGACGCGCTCCGTATTTCCAGAACAAGAATTGAAGGCTCCATGGCATCGGTTGTTTCGATATCGATGGCTCAAATTACGACGTGAGAATGAAGTTTCTGTTGTCGAGGTTTCATTCGCTGCGACGCTCAAGGTCACTAGGCGGCCGGACGCACGTCCAGCACAGAAGAAATCTTTGGCAGCCGGAGCACTCGGTGCTCCCGCGTCGGTGGAAGAGATATTCTGACGAACGATCGCGAAGCTTGTAGGGTAGAGCGGATTCCGCACGATTCCTTCCCTGGAGTTCTTATGAGTATCGAGGAAAGCACTGACCTTTAGAGCTCGATTCAAGCAGGCGCAGAGTGCCCAGTAACCCGTGTGCATTTGACCCTCATATTCCACCTGTACAGAAACGCAGAGTGCTGGTTCTGAGTTTTGAACGATTGCTCCGTTCACCGAGCCCGAATTTCAAGAATTGAGCGAGGGAAAAATAAGAAACATCCCGAACCTGGTATGTCGGAGACCAGAAGGAAAAGTTGAGCAGGTCTACTACGAATATCCACTCGACCGTTGCGTCGCTCATTTCCTTGGGATGGAGCCCCGCTTCCTTCCAGGCCTTCAGGTCGTATGGATTGCTAGCCGTCGCTTCGTGGATCTGCATGTGGGCGGGGGCTTATTCCATGGAGACTTCCCGCACGACTTGAGTTCCTTCGGATGGGATGCGTCCGGACAAACGATGTTCCGGCGAGCTCGGAACGAGCGAGTACAATTCACAATTAGCACTCACATGGCGGGCGAGCTTGCGAGCCGCATCGAGATCGATCCTGACATCTTTGGCTTTCGTCATGATGAATTCCGCGCTTGCCCGAGGGCCGAGAGTTCCCATATCTGCGTGGGAGAACGAGAAACATTTTCCAGTACAACAAATCCCGCGGTGACTGATTAAGGCGAGCCTCAGAGGAAGCTGGAAATCGCGTGCTCCGACAGATAGACGCAGAGATTCCCAGGCGATGATTGGATTCCAGGGACCCCTGAGAGACGAGCAGGGAAAATGTTTCCGCGAGGATTGTACGCGTTCGGAGAGCTTCGTGGGAGACCTCGAATTCCCTGAGTCATTCGAAAGCACTGTGGCCGTGGACTTCGTCGGACGCATATCGGGGGATATCATGCATCGAGTATCGTTCACTGATCCTTTCAATCTACTCTCATTGCTATCCTAGAAATGCGGGGTATCGATACGCTGGAAAAAGTACCGTCCTGAAGAAGTCGAGGCCTACGAGATCGCTGAATATCTGGGGGAGGGGAGTGACAGGAGATATCACTGCGCGATGCGAAATTCCCGATCGAAAACTCATCCGAGCTATCCATCCGTCATCGTGGAAGAGCGCTCCTCCAACGAGAGAACGCGTTGCGGGAGAGACCATTCCTGCTCCTCGACCAGGAATTACCCATATCGTCACCCTTCTGCGGCTTCGGTCTACGACGAAAATCGTGGGTTCTCCTCAAGTCCATCGTGCGCTTATTCCTCTTCGTAGCCCGTATCAGACGGAGAATCACCAACAACTTCGACCACATTTCAGTCGTGGGAGAAAAGACTCTGTGGCGTAGGCAAGGAGCAAGAAGGTCGTTGGCCTCCATGAGTTAGTGAGTGAGCCAGCCAGCCGGCCGAACGAGCGACCGACCGACCAGGCGGCCAGCCGGCCAGCACATCACCGAACGCACAAGCCACCGACTGCGCACTATGAGCGAACAAGCGGGCAAGCGAGCAAGCCTGCCAGCCGAGCATTCTGAACCCTTACATTAGTCAGTCTCTTAGTAAGTCAGTCTGCTGGTCGAACAACTTTGCCTGCTCCTCCGCTGATAGAGCCGCGCTGGAATATCCGTTTCCCCGTAGGAGGAATCCGTTGCGTCGGTCGCTTGTTTATGGCTTCGTTCAACGCAGACCTCGTCTCCCCGCGAACAGTCAGAGCAGAATCACAGGACGCGGGAGCATCGTCGCAAAACTATTTGGTACCGTCTGCTCCGGAAATTCCCAAAGTGCCGATACTCTTTCCAGAGAATCGATTTTTGTTCGTTGTCACCGCCTGCGGGGAAACGCCTCGGTCACCGAGACCGAGCGCCCCCGCTCAGCTGGAGGATGCTACTCAGGGAGTACTCACGGCGACAAACGCCAGAAGATGGAATCGGCGATCGCTGAATCATCATTGAAATCATTCCTGATTTCCCTGGCGACCTCCTCAATCACTTCCCCCTACATGATCCCCACATAGTCTATGTCCTGCCGGTAACCGATATTCTCATGGACACGGAGGCTCGCGCTCTCCGTCGGGCTGTTCTTCGCTTGGGCTCCGGAGCACCATCCTAATCACCGATTTAAGCTTTCCAATGTTTTCCGAATTTGGAGAATTCGCCGAGCGCTCTTTGGACGATTCCGCGATACGGATCCAAGAGTCTTAACAGTCTCTCTCGAAAATCGACACGCTTCATCCACCGCAGTCCAGCAACACACGGCATCGATGCCTGCTAAACCTCTGCCGTATCAGCGGCCACAGCAGCCGCAGTCGATAAGCCTACGTGTACGTCTTCGAGACTGAGCTCTGCCTCTGCCCGATCCCAGAGCTGTGGATAATTTTATCGAGCAACTTCCCCGCGACCAGGAGTCCCGGTTACTCTCCCAGCCGCGTTCATCGTCCAATAGACCTACCGTCTGCGAGCCGAGACAAGTAAATTCGTCCTTCTACTTATAACCTCGGAGGGCGCGATTGAATTGTCGACGCAGAAAGAGGCGTCATCGATCGCAATATCGCCCGACTAGAGGAATACCCCGACGACTTCGACGGTTGAAAACCGATGGGGGAATCGAAGGAACAACAGATGAGACCTTTATGATAAGGTTCACGAGGTTCTCTATGATCCTCGTTTCCGAGACGAAGCTGACGTTGAAGTTATTCCACGCTCCAGACAGGGAAATCGAGCCTCACCATTATCCTCGGTATTCATTACGCCGGTCAGAAGATTGGTCCCGCGAAGGTGCTTAACGACCGAGTCCAAGCTCCTCCAGCTTTGAAATTTATTCTACCGAAAGCACGAGAGGTCTGCCGGCAGTGACCGCCTTCAGCAGCTGACTTGCATCTACACAACGATCGCGAGCAAGAGCAGCGATTTCTCGACGACGACCACCACAACAACAACAACGACGACAACGACAACAACAAATGTGGTCGTTGTCGTTGTTGTTGCTGCTGCTGCTACAGACCGTGCTGTCGACAAGACGAGGGGCGCCACTAGTGAGCTGAGTGCCGAGAATGGAATGCGTATGGAGAGGCGGCTCGGCAGCCCTCCAGTCGTCGAGCAAGCAAGCAAGCTAGCCAGCCAGCCCGTCCGGAGCGGCGATTCAACGAGCGAGAAGCAAGCAAGGACGACGACCACTGCCATAACAACGAAGACGTCGATGATATTCTTGCTGCTCGGAGGCACGGCCTCCTCTTCTCGGACGAGTGAGCAGACGGCGACGACTCGACCGATGCCGATGGACGGGGAAGTCGGGAGAACGAGAGAAAATTGAAGTTCGGAATTCCCGGAGTCCTTTTCGGATCGAGGAATCTATGGCTCTGTCAGCAGCGAGTCTCTACTCCCTCATGCAGGAGACAAAACCCCAGTTCGCCTCGTTTCTCGGAGTGGTTTCGACCAGAAGAACGATTCCGGACCTCGAGTTTACCGGTGGAGGATTTTGAAGATGTCCTTTGGGGACGGTTGGACGGTAGTTAGCGGCAAGCGATCGTCTGGCCACACTCAATGATTTCTGTGAGTTCTGGAACTCGATTGATGGGGTTTGCCTTCGATGCTGCTCGGAGCTGAAACTTCTTAGCTACATACATTGAGGCAAGAACAGTTCCTCTTGGGCGGGGACGACGAAGATGTCCGGAAGACAGATTAATATATTGTCGCTGCAGCTCGCAGAAATCCATCTCGGCATCGACGAGGACAGAGACCACTCGAATTAGGCCGACAAGAATACGAAATCGAAGTTCTCGGTCATCGATCGCACTCAATCGCATTGACTGTCAGGCAAGCAGTTGATCGGAATCGGCGAGGTGTAACTTATCGCACTGAGGCTGATGAGCGGATCATCCATCCGCGGGGAACTCTCTGTCGACGCTGACCTACGGGGTATCCACGGTCACGCTCAGCTCGAGTATTCTCGCCGAGTTTACGATATTGATTTCCATCCCAAAGTCATCCTGAGAACGTGGGAATGGTCGCTCATTCGATCGGGACAACAGCGAATGCTCCAACTGACAGGATTCCCACAGGGGATCGATCAATTCTTCAGAGGAGGAGGGGGAGGAGGAGGAAACATAGACAGGAAATAAAATTTTCCCCAATTCGGAATGGAAGCTGATATCGGAAAATATCGAACTCATCAACGTTCCCGTGGTCTCATTGACCCCGGGCTAAGTATTCAAGCGCGAGATCCCAAGAAAAGTCCCGGTTCCCGCAGCGCGTCGAAGCTCTGCTCAGCGAGTTCCGTCAAAGTAGACGCGGCGCTGCGGTCAGAAGCACATTCCGTGCAGGCCTCAGCTGAGGAAGGAGTCTCGGTGCACCGATGCCGGCTGATTCCGTTCCTCCTAGAACTTGGTTTTACGTGCGTACGGGAGGACTGATTTTGCTCGTTGATATTTCGCGCCCCCGACGGAGCGATCGAGCGCTAGTTACGAGTTGACGGGATCCGAAGCGAAAGGAAAAGTTTGAGGAGAATGCGCGGGCGGGACTCTGAGACCCTTGAAGGGTTTCATCTGGAGCGATCGATGCAAGCTCGTATCCGAGAGTTCCGAGACCCACAGAACATCTATCGCCTCGGCTGTCAAGATTTTCCGTCCCGAGGCAGTTCTGTGGGCGGTTCGCGGATTCCGCGGATTCCCATGCGCAGCCGAGACCCACGGATGCGTATCGACCCCGAGCTCGCGTCAAGAGACTCAGGAAATACTCCCATCGAGTTGGTACCGAATTGTGCGGGTTATCTCTTGAAGGATCTCCGAGCGAAGGAGTCTGCAATGTCAGGACACGGGATTCTCGATTCCAAGGATGACTCTTCCGGATGGAATTCCGAACGGGGAACCTAGGGAACTGCTGCTCATCGCTTACGGTCTGATCTGGTATGACGTAGAGTCTCGTGTTTCGGCTGTGGTCGTTGAGGACAGCGTCTACGGACATGCTGTTTGAGATAGCCCACGGGTCTGCTCCTTTCGAATTGCTGCGAGACCGCCCGAAGGCCTTCCGTTATCCTCATCGCATATCCTCGCGCATCGAGCGGCTTCTCACTTCTTCTGGGTATTATGTGGATTTATGTATTCTCGGTTCGCTCAGTCATAGAAAGTGATAAGCTCAGAAGCTCCCGGAGAGAATCGGCGGAATTCCCTGCCGGGAAGACCCGGCCAGCAGGTCTTGGTTTCTCCGAATTAGGAGGCATCCAGCTTGAGAAACGCTGCGTCAGGATCTATTCGATATCGGGTTAACCACTCTTTGGTTGAGATTGATTCTCGGCTGCGGAAAAGAGTCTCGGAATACCGTGACAACCGGAAGGGATCCCCGTCGACCATATCCATGCTCATGCGGAGCGTGGAAGACTCATGAGTGCGACGAGCGACTCGATGGGAGATTGTGCCGTCAGGAGGGAGAGTCAATCCCGATAAGTTCTGGAGGGTCAACCCCGATAAGTTCTGGAGAGTCAACTTCGATAAGTTCTGGAGAGTCAACCCCGATAAGTTCTGGAGATCCATGAGTTTTCCGGAGCAACTATCCGGTTGGAGACTTGTAGATGCTTACATCAATGTATCGACGATTGAACGTTCGAACTTTCCGTAGGGGAATCTGTCGGGAGATCATTCCTAAGTCCGGGTGGTGCTTTGGAGCCTGTTCGGCTGCTTGTGCTGCTCACCGGTGATGTTCCGTCGTGCTCGTATTTTGCGAGCCGGGCGAGCTCGGCTGAGATGCGCTTGGCATGAGAGCGAAACTTCTTGAAAGATTCCAGCTCATTCGCCGATATCACGTGGAAATTAATTGTTTGATTTGTACTGTGTATGTATTAAAATTGATTTCCTTTGATTGATTGGAATTGATTTTTGATTCTCCCATTCTTGGGGATTGTAATTCTCGGGGTTTCGATCCGTTGAACCCTCATGGAAGATTCCAGCATCAATGTTCCGAGAGAGGACCCCGATACCGGGGGATGCGAATGTCATCATCCAATACATCCGGAGCTGTTCCCGACGATAGCGCTGTACACCGGGCAGGGGATGAGATCCTCTCGGAAAGATATCCGTACGAAGAAATACCGCCGTTTTGGCGGCCTCCCCGCTTCCCTCTCACCCTCGGACGGTACATAGGGTACGGTCCTCAGTACACTTTCGCACCCTGCGCGCGGAGGAGGACCTGAACACGGACAGGTCGCACCGCATAGACAGACTCGGGATTCCTTGGGATGCGACGCCAGAAACACGCTCGCGTCATTCGGAGGCTTCACGCAACTCCACGGATCGCCCTCTTCGATTGATTCTCCTTCTGCTCGATGATTGATATTGTATAACGTACTTGAGGCTCGAAGATCAGTCTCGAAGCTTCCGCGGTGATTTCCGACGCGCCTGGGTTCTCTTGGGAAATTCCGGATGGTCCTCCGGGGGTCGGCTAGTGAAACGAGACTACCTGCCGGCGCTTCGAGATGGAAAATCGGCTCAATGGATCATCTCAGGTCGTCACCTGAATTCTGGCTCATCGAAGAGGGAGCTCAAAACTCAGGCCCAGGCGCGGGGAAATATCGATAGAGACCCGAAAGGAAACGGGGCACCGCCCAACTCCGTGTCAGAGGTTCGATGCCTGGAGGCTGCCTGTATTCATTGCGTCGCGGGCAGGGGTGGAGCACCGGCTTCACTGGCAACGGGTGTGAGAGCAAATAATCATGTGAGCACCAGCCCGTTCTCACCCGGCGCGATCATGTTCCTCAACATCAATAGACTCTATCATTCTACTATTTCGAATATGAGAGCCGATACCCGGATCAGCACCCGAAAATGAAGTTTTAAGCCACGGTCAGAATTTATTTCGAGGACTCTGCTCTCAATCTCGGACGACCGCGAAACATCGCCGTCAATGATCCTCACAACAGGCAGCCCCGAAGTAGGAACCCGGACCCCGAATGTCATGCGTCCACCGCGCAACGGTGCCGCCATCTGCGGGAGGCTCTCGCCTCGAAAGAAAGCCCACACGACGTGACGCGGCTTTCTCGGGAGCTGTGTGTGTCATCATCCATACTGCTCACATCTGACGGCAATCGGAGGAGCGAGTCCTCCGATTCCGGTGGTTGGAGGATATCCCTCCCGCCTTCCCTCCGATCGTAACGTCGAATAAACCCCGAGCGGCCACCCGAGGCGTTCGCTGGGCCAGCGGAACCGCGGGAGCGGAGAAGTCGCGCATTCGGCGCGATGAGGAACGTACCGGTATGATCACACGGCGTTTCATTATCAGGAGTTTTCCTGTGGGTGCCTTCTGTCGTTTCGATGAGGAAATCATCTCGGGAAAAAAATTCAAGATTCGACCTCGGATGCCTCGGCTAAGCGATGCTTATCTATGGTTCCCAACCATCACCGCAGGTACCTCATATCGAGCGCACATTGTCGCATATGCTGAGAGAGTTTGGCGTCCGCGTTCTCCGCCGAGGAAATATAATTCTGGAAATTCCTCAAACGAACGATCAAGCGTCGTGTCCACCAGCGAAGCTACAGTCCCTTCTGAGCGATTCACAGAGGAATAATTCTCGATGCCGACTCCCTAATTTATTTCATTGGCGACACCGCTGACCGCCTTCCTCCGTGCCCTTCCTGGTAGCGCCGAGTTGATCAAGGATCTCATTGCGAGCTCTGTCGACCGCTGTTGAAGAAGAAGAGGAAGAAGACAACGACGTCAAGAGCGGTAGCAGCGGCCGCTGCCACCACCAGCACAGCGAAGAAGAAGACAGCAACCAAGGATATCGACGACGACAACGTCAACAACGAGCATATTTTCAGGGTCGTCGTGGGGCCGGCCAGAAACCCGCCCCACGGAGGGTGGTGGTGGTGGGCGGTGGTTTGCTGCCAGACCGTGTCCCCGGAGTCTGCGACGACGCTCGTAGGAGGGTTCGGTGGCGTAGCCTTAGGTTCGACATGGTGTTCCCTCTCGCCCGCTTCCTTTGCTGCGGCTGCCTGCTGCCGTTACCAGTCGGCGGCCGCCAGCAGCTTCCACTTACGCACTTAGTCCTTGACAAAGTCCGCAGCAGCGCTCGATACGCCGAATGTATAGCCGCCGCTGCTGGCCTGTGTGTAGAATTCGAGCAGCAGCTAGATAGACACTGAGTGAGTGTGCTCGCCGTGTCTCGCCGGCAGGACTCTATTCCGCTGCTGGCGTGGATTTCCAATTGTGCTTCCAGCTGCACTCTGGATGAAGAGGTGGGTAAATCGATGCTGAAGCCGTTTGGCGTTGTTCGGTCGCTCGTCGTCGAAAGGAGAGAGCAGCAGCGAATCGTCGGCTGACGACGACTCCCAGTAGTGCTGGCTGGCTGCTAGCTGACTGGCAAAGGAAGAAACATGGCGTCGTCGACGACCGGTCCCTTCTTGACGAGGAGATCCTCGATCCTGCTGCTCTAGGTTGTTTGCGACGCGTCGGTGCTCCTGCTGTCGCCTTCGGCGGCGACCTCCCTGAACTGCTGCTGCTGTGGATGTTGACGTTAACGTCGTCGCTATCGTCGTCGCTGCTCGTGCCGCAGTCGTTGTCGTGGACGCAGAGGAACGCAAACTACGCCCGTGTCTCTCGATTGTGAGTGTTTCGAACGTCGCTCCTGGTGGGAGCTACGCATCCGAGCAACGGCCGACCTCACGGCTCAATAAGCAGCAGGTCCATCTAGATCGAGCTAGGTAGTCTGGCAACTCTCGACGACGACGTCTAGCCGCAGCCAACCATCAGCCAGAAGAGTCACGAAGACAGCTGATCCCCTTCGGTGGCATTTAAACTCCATCCCGTTCTTGAAGTGAGTCGCGTACCGAGCCGGCGGAACTCGGAGACCGTCTCGTATGTCGAACGTTTTTCCGTCGACGGAGCCGAGTTTCGTCATTTGCGTCTACGGATGAAGTTTCGAACGAGTGAAAAAGTTTCCTCATTCGATAATTTTGTTTTTTTTGAAATCGCTTCTCGAATTGATAAGAGGCGTACTGGGAACCGAAAGCGTCCTGCCGTGGAATAGAATGAGGTTCAGATTCCGATTCTCGCGGTGTCGAGGGTCCGTCCCGAGCGAATGCTCCGATACGAGAAAGCATGCTCCAAGATACCGTCATGCGGGTAGAAGATAAGCGCTTTGGTAGCTCTTCGTGTCGGAGCTCGCCATGGTTTCGACCGATAGCGACTCCGCCTTTCTATCGAGTAGGAGGCTCGTATTATTCGAAAGGAACGAGGAAAGTTTCGAGGCTACGAAGTAAAATCAAAAAAAATAATAGGAATAATATACTCCGAGCTTTGAGCCTCGATCGTGAGCCGGGGATCCGACTGACTCGCTCGGCGAGCGACCGTAGGGACGGCTCTGGTTTCTCTCCTGGAGCGTCCCTCCTCCTTCTCTTGAGATTCGCATGGATCCGTTAAATCCATGAATGGTGCTCATAGATGCGCCGATGCGGCCAGAGTTCTGTCGGTGAGCCCCTCAGCCGCGTGTGGGCTGTGTGGAGCGTCTGGGGTGCTGGCTTGGGTGATTCGGATCGTTGGTCTTACAGCGCACAGCGATCCGGTGGGCCTGTGAGCCTGGACCCGCCTCCCGAGCAGCCGGCGGGTCGGTACTCGTCAGCACTCCGTTGGCAAGGAGACTCGATCGGAGGATCTCAATGGAGCGCTGAACGATAGGGTCTCTCATGGGTTTTTCCATCGTCGGCTTCGCGATGAGACAGAAGAACCTGGGGCTCGGGCAGACCCCGCGGTGACGAACAACCGGAGGAGTTGGAGCTCGCTGCTCGAGCGGGGGCCGATATCCCCGGAAAACTCTTGCGGCAGATCGCCGGCAGCGATTTCGATCTTTGTCCTGACGCAATGACGATGAGGAGAACAACGTCGACGAGTAAGCGACCGGACCGACCTTGCTCCATTTTGCTGTTACTCTTGCTTGCTCACTCGCTCGCTCCCTCCCTCCCTCCCTCGTCTGCTCGGCGGCTCAGTTCGCTTGCTCACCAGCAGCTTCGCTGGCAGCTCCTGTGCCGGCTCTTCTGTGGGCTCCCTCACTCGATCTTTGCCTCTGGCAAACGCCTCTGGCAAACGCCTCTGGCAAACGCCTCTGGCAAACGCCTTCGACAAACGCCTGCAGCAGATGACTTCGGTGAGCGCTTCAGCGAGTGCCTCCTGCAAATGCCTTCGGCAGGAGTGACGAGCACCCTCGGCAAGCTCTGTCAACAAAATTCTTTAGAAGGGAGCTTCTGCGAATTTCTTTCGACACTTCCTCCCGGCCTAAATGCTTCCGGCGGATCGAGGGAATGGAGGGGTAGTATGAGTCGATATCGAATATCGAGACGACTCTGGTCCCAGAGTCCAAGCTCGAGGGCTCTGGCAAGGCGAGGGGAGCTCGAGCCAATGGGACATTCAGGAGCGAACTCCACCGAGAGAGCCTTCGCGGCCTCCCATTCCGAAGTCTCTCTGGAGATGAATGTACTCCGTGGTCCAAAGAGGAGTTCCTTCCACTCTGCTCATCAATCTCTCTCGGATTCAGCGAACGTTCATTGAAAAAATTTCAGTATCTTGGCTGAATATCCCGATCGAATCATCCCGAGTCGCGTCCCCACCCCGAGTCGCGGGAAGCTCGATTTCGGGAAAAATGCGAGATTAAGAATATCATCCTCTGAGATGAGCTCCCAAGTAGCTCCGGGAATCGTAACAAATTCATATCGCAAGGCTATATCGATACGGTAGAGCCCCATATCATGATAGGAAGCCGTCACGGCTCCAACCTCCCCTGAGTAGTGCCTTGTAGCGCCTTGTAGCGCCTCCCGCCGAAAAAGAGATCGAAAAACGAAAGAGGTCCTCGTTCGGGAATTTTTCCCGCCGTTTGAAAACGAGAGGAGGGACCATGCTGTTCAGGCGAACCGTTTTGATTTCGGACGTATCGATTCCCTCTGTTTTATTCTGAGGAGGGACCGGACTTATGATGCATGGGTACAGTGTGGATGTGAATGAATGATGGAATGTTAGTTGAGCGTCGACTTTCTCCCAACAGGTGAAAATCTACCCCGTCGTAGCGCATTGAGCCGAAAGAGCGGCCGAGGAGGCTACAAACAACGGTCCACATGAGGAAGGTGATGTACCCCTCTGGTGCGTATAGATGCCCGGATTGCGGATATCAGGCTCAAAACAGGAAGTTGCTAGCGACTCACGTAGCCAAAGAACACACTGAGAACGCGCTCAAGTGTGACCTCTGCAACTTCATCACAAAATATCAAGTAAGTCTAGCGGACAGAACACTTCTTCTCAAACTCAGAACAGGGAGAGAGGAGCTGGAAAGGTTTCGGGAACTGATGCCGAAGTAGATATCTCGAGGTGTTCTACAGTTTCCTTCAGCAGTCGCTCGCAGAAAACGCCATTCATCGGCAAGCGGTCGATTTTCGACAAATAAGTTTAGGCGCGGGGAAGTTGGGAAGGAACTACCTAGCCAGGAGTCAGGACGCTCAGGGAACTGACGAATGAAGAAAGGAGAAGAGCGTCCCAGAATCAAATAGCGCGGAATCGACTCCTTGCCTCTCCCAATGCGAGCGAGCGAGATAGCTCCACCGTGCTGTGACATGGCAGCGACTCTCGGACGAAGGGTGTGACTCTTACGATGCGGCAGCAAACTCGCGGATCCATCTGAAGCCGATCGATAGGAAAATCGATGGTCGCCCTTCGGACAGAGGTCCTGACGGAGACCTGGGAAGCCATTCAAACGAATTGACGCTCGGACGGATTGATCGAAAGAGCGAACTCGAGGCGGCACCCATCCGCCGTTCCGCGCGGCGTAATACGACGCTCCTCCGGAGGAATGCCTGCTCCGTTACCTCTGAGCTCGAATGCGTAGATCTGAGGCTTTGGCCGAGGATTTTCGTGGAGGGAAAGCTCCCCAACGGTCCTGACTCTCGTGACGAGCTAGCCTGAAGGCAAGCAGCTTCGCAGGATGGCTCCATCGGGACAGGAACACATACACCAGCAGGTCGAGTGCCACGTCTTCGACGAGAGTCCTCTTTCGCTCCGCGCTTGTCGGTCGGTCGGTCGTTCGCCGGCTGGCTCGTTCGCTGGGTTGCTTGCTCGCTTGCTTGGTCGGTCGAACCGCCGGCCGGAGGTGGTTCGTTGAACCCTCGCTCAAGAGCTCTTGTCCGGATGCCGGGGTTCCCTCAGTCATCAGAAGTAGTTGGCAGTGGTGGCTGCCTTCGCCAGAAGGCAAGCGAAAGATCGAGTTGACGACGCCGACAACGAACCCAATGACGACATATGCCACAAGCAAACTAACCCACTAACCCCGCAGGCCAACTACTGGCGGCATCGAAAAACTCTCCACGGCGTGAACAGCATCAATCTTTGCGATCCGTGCAAGAGCCGTTTTCCCACCAAGGACGACCTCGTCGAGCACACCCGCCAGGAACACCCTGAACTCCTCGATGAGGTTTTGGAGAAAGTCTCGAGACCGGTTCAAAATGAAAGGTTCGCAAGCGGGACCTTGAATTTTCCTTCCTCCCAATTGCACTCAAATATCAACGTTCAGCTCGCTCGTCATCCGCCGTTCACCGAAGCACGTTGCACGTCAAGCCAGTCCTTTTTTTCTTTTTTTTCGTTTCTCGCCACGATTGGACTACGACTCTTCGAATTGGGTCAGAAACAGACGTTCTCGATGTGTATCCGTAATGAGTTCGCGACGTTCTTCCAAATAATTCCACGCAAGCTCGAGTTTCCACGTCCGGAATGATCGACGGCAGTTTTCGGTTTTCGTTCGACGACGGGTCCTTCGTTCGATCGCTTTCAGTTCATTCGATGTCGAGAGGGTAAGTTGTGGCCGTACGCGAAATTCGGAGGTCAAACGGGTCGTGGTGGTTCCTCGGGCGCATCGCGTCAGCCGTCATGGCCGGAATCGGTTCGAAAACACCGACTGACACTTTTTTCCCCTGACGCAAGTTTAGGAAGAAATTCCGAATTATCGTATCGCGTTTGTTTTCCGTGTATAGCCACGGAGTGAATCTATCTCACGGTTTGGAGAGGAGCTCGCGCCTCAATTCGGCGTCCAGCGAAACCTTCTCGGCACTCCGCTGAGTTTCGCCCTCATCCTCGGAGCTCTCGATCCGTCTCACGCTGTTTTCAGAAGTGAGGGATTTTCCTGGGGGAAGAAGAAAAGCGTCAAGGGAATCGGAGACCGATGTCGCGATGTTCACATCCTCGATTAGATCTCTAGTCCGATCCCAGAATGCTGTTTTTCCTTCATTATCTTCATTTTGAATTAGGTTCTGTGCTCCTAAGTTTCAGCTTAAGAAGTATCACGCATTCCTCATTTCGCAAGCAACGATATGGGTCCGTTTCGTGGTCGATTGCAGCGTTTGCGGAACGCCTGAAGAGAAGTGCGTTCGTCGATTTTAGTTGGTGCTTGCTCGTCGTCAAAGCGTTCGCTTTCCTCAAGCTGCGCTGGATCTTGGCGTCGCCTCCTTGTAGCAGTGAGTTGCTGCTGCTCTGGGACGGTCGCTGCAAGTGCGACTCTCTTCAGAGAACGCTTAGAAGGTCGACAATCTGACACGATTGCCTTGTGTCGACATTCTCTCTTTTTAGTTGGCCGACCGACAGGCTTGAACGGTCGGCTCGTCTGCTCGCTTTCTGTCGGCCGCTCGGCCGGCGATTGCAGTGCTCGTCACAGAACCTGCGGCTTTCCAAGGTCGATATCGTCGCTCACTTTGCCCGGCGTTTCCGTTGCAGGTTTGACGAGGCTGTGGCAGGATCTCCGCAGGACGAAGACGAGGTCGAAGAGGAACAAGCCCCGACTTCGTCGAGAGACACCCGCAAACGAAGAGTGAACTACAATCAGGACGAGCCCTCCATCGAGGCGTTGCTCGAGCAGGGTTTCTGTGAGGGAACGAGTACGTACGACCCAGTTTCGCTTTTGACAGTCAGAAATCTGCGCTCCCGATCGGCCCTGGATCGGACGGTCTCGTCTGGGGGGAAGAGGGCGAGGAGGGGGGAAATTTTCTACTCCGGGCTCTGATCGTTCATCGAGTGCCCCGAGCTCCCGGGAGGCGCCGAGACCCCGAGATATCCGGGCAGAGCTTGAGACCCCAAGTTTCTACGCGAGGATCGGGCTTCCGCACTCGCGGCATTCGGGTTCGGGTCGAGCACGCGTTCAAGTGCGAATTCACGTTTCAGAGGAACTCGACGCGGCCGAAACGAACGGACACATCAGCCTGAAGCAACAGCGGCGACTCCAGATACAGAGGTCACATCTCTGCAGAGATTGCGATTTCGTGACCAAAGAATCCCGCCAGTACCTAATCCACCGGTACGAATTGTTCTCCTGACCGAAATGTCGAACTCCAGGCTCGAGCGCTGGAATCCTCCCGTCGTTGGGTTCCTCGCTCAGAATTCTCGATTTTCAAATACGCCATCGACGTAGACGACGAGAACTCACTCGCTCTGGCTCTCGTCCACAGGAAAGAAGCTCACGGAGATCGTTTGACCATTTACGACTGCCCTTGGTGTGGGTACGCGTCGAAGCAACTTCAGAAGCTCCAACGGCACGCAGGCAGCTGCCACACGGACCAGGGTCTCAACGCCGAAGAGCTCCGTACCGTTCTCAAGAAAGTCGCTCAACAGTCTCACGAGGCCGCTCAGCTCGAGCGTGAGACCAACATCATCCGTCAGTACCTCCGTGAGTTTTAGGCAGCAATCACAATCAGCCGCTCTTCGAAACCCGTCCGCCTCGATCATGTCGTTGGTCGTTGTTCGTGGTGGTCGGTCGGTCGACGCGGTGCGCACGCATCTGCGCGCTGCTGCCATCGACTGCGCCAGCAGTGACTATTACACCTAACTGTTCCAACGCGGACCTCCCGACCGTCGCCGTATCGGTTGCCGTGTCGTATATACGGATAGCGGATGAATATCAAAGCTCGGGGCGGTCGGAGTTCTCCTCGCGACAGATTCTCTTATCGTTGAATTCGAAGGATCCTGCTATCGGATCCCTTGGGTATCGTTCCCGGAAATAAGATGGAGACGTTCCTCGTCGAACATTTCAAAGAGCCTCGGTGGCTCGATCGAACAACGAGGACGAGGCAGAAGCACTACGCGAAGAACGACCACCACATGACCGTGGCGCCACTTGTTTTTCAATCTCTCGAATGCATTCATTCGTCGGAGCTCTTCAGCATGGCTCCTCCTCTTGCTGCTTCGCGACGGCCAAGAGTTCTGCGGAAGTTGTCCGGCTTTAGTTTCGCTAGAATTTTCTTCGCATTGTTGTTGCCATCGTTCAGTCGCCGAGCGTTCCCAATGAGACCCTGGGCCCGGAGCTGGCATGCAAACTAAAGTTAGAGAGACGAGCCCTCTGAAAATCTGGGATCCTGTGATCGCTTGTGTTATTCCAGAGAAACATGGGAGCCCGAGCCTGAAGTTGGACCAGAAAGCTCTGGTGAAGACTGTCCGACTGCCGATATCTGTCTCTGACGCTGAGTCCTCACGTCCCTCGACCCCTGCCCTCGACAAAACGAAATCCTCGCCCGCGACCGCCGCATCTTCGAAAACTACCCCCTGCGCATCGTCGTCCCCCTCGAAAACCCTCAACCAGTGGTTCACCTGCAAGAAGTGTGCCTTCAAGGCACGCAGCAAGAAGGTCGTCGAAGACCACGAGCGGACCTCGCACACGATCGAGAGCGTCTCGAAAAGCGGCTTGCGCTTCAAATGCGACATCTGCGGCTTTAGCTGCGGGGACGTGCAGAAGTACCGTCAGCACGTGAAGTCGCACGCCAGCCGCGGCGGTAAGGACGAGGAGATTGTCCGAGACGACGAAGGCGACGACGACGACGACGTATCGAAGGAGGAACCTGGTCGTACGAAAACCTGTAACAAATGTGACTTCACTACAACCTACCGCTGGAGCTTCGACCGCCACGTCCGCCACCACAATCGTGAGTATTTTTCTTGCGATCGAGATCGCGGTAGGCTCGGAGGAGCCGGAGCCCTACGAGTTGAGGAACACACGTGTTTCTCCAATTAATTTTCGGAGTTCCTGTCGACTGTCCCATGTATATTCTCGGACAGCTCCACCGGATCATTCGCCGGAGCTATAAGGGATCGGTGATGGGATTCCCCTGTCGTATCATACCGCGAACCGGGAGCATCCAGAAGTCTCGAATCTCTTGGTTCTGAGACTCCATGGAAGGTTTCGGCGGAGTTGAGCGGCTCCTGCTCAATTTGATCTCCGCTCATGCTCGATCCGCGATACGGCTCCGAGTTCGTGAGTTCCCGCGATAAGTTCATTCGGGATTGTTTCTCCCTCGGTACGAAGCTCTCTCCCTGTAACGTTCGTTCCACCCCCTCTCCACCGAGGAGGCGAAACTCGAAATTTTGGGGAGAGAGGAGCGGAGATAATTCTGAAAATCCGGCATATCGAAGTCGGCGATTATCGCATCGTACCGAACGTGGGCTCCCCGTAACGGCGTCATTTTCCCTGAATCATTCCCTCTAAAGAGTCTTGCCTCTGTTTGTGTCTTCCAGCGCTGAACGGTCCTCTCCAATGTCCGCGTTGCGACTACAGCACTAATCAACTGGGATCGCTGAGGTTCCATCTGGGCAACCATCACAGCGGGTGTACGGCCGAAGATTGCGAAAAAACGCTTGAAAAAATGGCGGCGGCCAGCGTTAGTGGTGGCGGCGGCAGCAGCGGTAGCAAAGGGATGATGCAGTGCGCGGAAATCGAAGATTCAATGCCCGGCGAGATGGAGGGCTCAAGCATCGGCATAGACGAGAGCAGTCAGGACGAGGATGCGGTCACATGCGATCTGTGCGGAGCGTGCTTCCTCAACCAGGCCGACTTGCTCGAGCACAGCAAGCGGGAACACATCACGGAAATCGAAGCTGAACAGGCGCAAATGTTCCGGAGCGCCTCGCGGATGTCCGCGGAAACGTCGGCTTCCGAGGAAACATTGCAGAGACTTCAGAATAGGTTCGGATTGAGCATCACGCCGGTGGCGGTTGGCGGGTCAGCCTCAACGACTGAAACCAAGGAGCCCGTCGTGATCGAATTGGGCGACGGCAAATCCCTCAAACATCTCATTGAGGGGTAGGTGGTGGACGCAGGCCAGCATGCAAACCGTTTGTCGTTGAAACATCCTTAATTCAGTAACAATTGTCGATTGCGTCCTCTAGTCGTCGCTTGCTTTCGCTTTCGAACGCTGTTCGTGCTGCAATTCGTGTTTCGTTTCCCTCTCGTTCTCTTTGTGCGTAACCTAGTCCTCAATTGGCCTGCCCTATCCCAACAGTGGCCCGAGCCCTGGTGCGACAAGCACGAATAGCCTCCAACTAACGAGAGAAACAACTATGCTCCGTTCTGCATGGCGAGATTGCGCAACGACCCTGAGGGGAACCGACGAATCTTCGAATCGTCGTTGTTCAACTCGTTCTCGAACTTTCAGGGGAAATACAAATGGCTCAACATGCTCAAAACCTCCGTCGAGATCGGGGACCATTTTCAAATGTCGGTATTGCCCTTTCTCAACCAGAACCAAAACAGAATACCAGAAGCATGAAGCGATCCACAAGCCATTTGTATGTACTCTCTGTCCCTTCAAGACTGTCTGGAAAAGTAAGTCTAGCCGTCGGGAACGACTCCTCCTCGACGATACTCCTCGAATAATTTCATCGAGTCGGAGCTCTATATCGAATGTAGCATTCATGTATTTCCTTCTCCACCAGATGATCTCAGTAAGCACATGTCTAAGAGTCACGGAGAGCAGTACGAGGAAGATTCCCCCGCACCTCCAGCTCCTCCCGCCGTGTCCGAAGACAGTGGGAGTCAACAGACGGCTTCATCGACGGGTGGTGTACTTAGAAATCTTTTAAGCACACCCGACGTCAATCAGAAAGATTCCCTACTGTTCAAGACACTCCAAGGCGGAGACTCTCAGGCATCTCCTGAGAATGATTCACCAAGACAGAGTGAGTACCGTCGTGTCCCCGAACGCGTCGAGCAGATATTCGAGTCGGACCCTGAAGTAAAAGAAAAAAAAACGGTCGAATATCGCGAAGTCGCTTCGATGAATAACAATTTGCCTTTCCGCTCCTACAGCCTTCAATCAAGATGAGATCCAAAATCAGGCGCTGAAGCTACCAGCGAACGCCCATTACTTCTGTCCATACTGCGACTTTATGACGAAAACGGCTTCCCGCTTCCACATTCACTACATGCAGCATCTGAATGTACGACCGTTCGAGTGTTCGGTCTGCAGAATCAAGAGCAACTGGCTATGGGATATCAATAAACACATCCGGACTCGGGTCAGTCAGGGAGATACGACGCACCGGGGAGCAAAATGCGTTTGCATAAACGAAGCAGGTTTAAGAGACTACAACAAGTATAGATGCTTCATCAAAGAGGTAAGCGACGAGGTAAGCATGCTGATCGGTTAACCCTTGTGTATGTGGTTCGTCGGACTAATAATTACGCGTCAGTTCAAAATCAAGAATCGATCCTCGTCAAAAGCACAATCGGGCAGTGGAAACTAAAACTCGGCATGCGGATGTGAAGCTCGCGCTATCAGACCCGAAGAGTGGGATTACACGCTCTGACCGGATTTGATCCTCTCCCCTCCAGGGTCCGACTAACGGCGAACACATCGAGACATCCGACGATCATGGAGAGGCGGGTGTAATGGCATCTCAAGGCCAGGTACACCCTTCATATTCGTCGGCTGAGGTCCAGATGCAGGCCCTCGCAGCTGTCCAAGCTCGACAGCAGCAGGGAGGGCCTTCTGTTCCCGTTCAGCAGCAGCAGCAGAGTCAGTCGCAGGAAGATTCGCAAAACTACATGATACAGCAGCTGCAGAAGAAAGAAAGAGCTTCCGCGGGCGCTCTAAAATGCGGCCATTGCGACTACACCTGCGACCACAAAGACATCATGCTGGGTCATCTCGGTGCACACGCAGACGTACTTCCGTTCATCTGCAGCAAATGCGGCCTAGCCAACAAATGGCATCACACTGCCTGGATCCATCTGCAACAATTCCATCGCGAAGATCAGGTCACGCTGAAAGACATCCACCTGCAATTAGACTACACGCATAAAGGCGACGTGTTCGAGATGGATCCAAACGCGATTGTGAACCCGCAACTGACCGTAGCTCCGAACAACGAAGTCAGCCTTATCAGGCAGCTGAGATGCAGTCGTTGCCCTTACCATACTGTTCAGAAGTCCAATATGCAGCGACATCGCGAGGGGCATCAGCGAGCGCGTCCTGACCTCATGCGCTACAAATGTCCTTATTGCGATTTCTGGCAGGAGACAAGACGCGCTATCCAGCGGCATATGGCGCTTCATCCCGAGCACATAAAGCGAGGGACTCAGGGAGTTCTTGATACCGACAAGGCCAAGGAGCTCCTGCTTATCAACAACAACAACAACAATAATTCGCCCCCTGCAGAAGTCGTTTCCCCCGACGGAACCGGTCAATCGGAAGATGTGCCTCGCTTCAAATGCGACGCGTGTCCATACGTGACCACAGCAAACGCGCAATTCATCTACCACAAACAATTCCACAGGTGAGAAAGCGTCTCCCGTATCGACGGGGCGGACTCCTGCCCCCCCGCGCAGAAACTCGTCCGTTTTCCCATTGACGTAGTTTCGTCAATCGTTCCGGCGTCAAATCATTCACTCATCCGTTCCATATTATTCCGCAGATACAACCCAAAAGCCAAGTTCAAGTGTGACAAATGCAGCTACTGGGCCACTCACGCCCATTTGATTACTCAACACGCGAGGGTTCACAACGAAGGAACTCTTGACCAGAAGTTCCCCGAAGGGTCCTGGTTGCCACCAGCAGAAATTGCGGTAACCACAGAGGCGAGCGAATCGGATCGGATTCGAACGTTCCGTGTGATGAAGAACGGCGTGCTCATCAAAATGCACAAATGCCGTTACTGTCCTCTGATGAACCGACGCAAGGCCAATGTGCGCTACCATGAGTTACTGCATAGCGAAATGGCGTCCGGGAAGTATACCTGCCACCTATGCAGTTACAGGACCCAATCTCAGGGTGTTCTCGGCAATCACATGAAGATTCACGTTCCCGAAAAACGGAGAGGGGACTCTGGTGTCGAATTGGTCGAAGAGATCGACGAGCTTAACAGTTCGGACGACGAATCGAGTCCTCATCAATCCGCCGTTGGCTCACAGCAAGAATCGCGAGAAACTCGCCCCCAACCCAAAATCAAGTACAACTGCAGTGCAGTTGAGTCGGAACTCTTCAATTTGCTGCAGAGCCGACAGAACGGCGGAGCGATCGGGGACGATCAACCCGCGCAGTCTTCTCAGAAGCCCGGCTTCAGCCAGGCCTCGTCCTCGAACGGGTTGAGCAAAATTAGGAAACCAACGAAAGTAGCACCAGACCCCTACTTCAGACGGAGCGATGGACTCGTCACGTTCCAAAGCAAAGTGAGTCCCGCAGAGAGCCATGAACAAACATGAATATTAATATTATTATCATAGTTATTAATCATGATTATTATCATTATGATTGCTATCACTATCATTATGATCATTATTATCATGATCGAAATCACATTTCACTCTAGTTCCCTCGCAGTGATCTGCATGGGTTTCTCTCCGGGCTTTCCTCACCCATGATAAGAGCTCGAGTGGAGAAATTAACGGGGGAAATCGTCTCGTTCCGCAGGTGAACCTCCGCAAATGGATCGCGTGCCCAGAGTGTCCAGCGCTCTTTATGAACCCAACTGAATATAATCGCCATTTGGATCACCACCGATACGGAGATAAATTCCAGTGCTCACAGTGCAGCTACTCGATGAATAAATACGTTTTCGTGGCCCAGCACGAACAGGTCCACAGCGAAGACTACATGATCAAGAAGCTCGGCTATTGCCATCGTCCGACGACGGGTGCCGGCGACCAGAAATCCACGATAGTGAAGAATATCCCCACCAGCTTCCCGACACCTGCGATCGTTGCCTCAAGCCTCCAGAGCTCGCCTTCGAGTCAGTCGTCCTCAGGTCAAGTCTACAAGATCTCCCTCAAACCGCTGACACCGCAGAAAAGGCCCGGACCCCAAGTGGCCCTTTCTGATGAAGCGGCGGCGAATTTCGACAACGAAGAGTTCGCGGTCAGCATGCTAATCGCTGAACTCCACGAATCGAAAGCCGTATTCGAAGGATCGTGCTGCGGCACGTTCAAATGCTCGGTATGTCCGGCTGCTTTCAGCAACCAAGGCGTCCATCGATTCCATCAGAAGCTTCATAGCAGTCCGGCTAGACGGCTCAAATGTCACGTGTGCAGTTATAGCGTAGACGAATCGGGGAACATGATGGCGCACGCTCAACTTCATTATATCAAATTCGGAGGCGGCAACAAGCAGACCATGAAGCGGTGTCCGAAGTGTCCGGCGACCTTCACCAAGCAGAATTTCTACGAAGGCCACCTTTTGCGGCACGGGAGTGGGGAACGCTACAAGTGCGATTACTGTGATTTCGCGACAAACAAAAGCGACATAATCTCTCGGCACAGAGTGCTCCATCGTCAAGTGTCCGAAGACGTCGAATGCGGACTGGGCGAAGAGAATCTCGACGCCAACTCGCAGATCTCCGTCAGCACCCTGTTCCGTAACGCCTCCGTACCTCAGACTCTGGTCGAAGACGCCGCGCCGGTCAGTCTCGACGATGCGCTCAAGACCTCCGAGCAGAACAAAAGCGAGGAGGACAAGAAGATCTACGCGTGCATGGCATGCCCGTACACGTACGGCCGGAAGGACGGTATCGTGCACCATCTCAAACGGCACGTCGTACTCCAGCAGTTCGATTGTCCCCACTGCTCGTTCACGGTGAGCAACAGCGCCACTCTACGAGACCACGTGAAGACTCACTTCATCTGTCAGAAAATGAACAAACCGCAGGCGTTCTTGCACTACGACGAGATCAAGATCAAGCTGGACGGCGAGATCATCTTCGAGGACCGGGGCAAGAACGACGGCACCCGCTTCTACCCGGACAGCATACCCGAGTTCCGGGAGGAGGGTCCGGACCTGCTCGTCGAGTACATCGAGCCGGACGTCGTGAATACCGTGAATAATCTTGTGGACGGCGTTTGCGACGACAAGCGGAAGATGGAGCGTGAGGTGCCCAGCAGCTCGATATACGGCCCGATCGTTCGAAGAAGTTCATCCGCGAGAAGCTCTCAGGATGAACCACCTTCGAAACGGTCGAGAGCTTCGACGTTCACCGGCGGAGAATCTCCGAATTCCCAGAATTCCGGACCGGCGACTCCGCCATCGGCAACGGGGCACCTGCGCGGCTCGCCAGCCGCGTCACCTCCGCCTTGTTCCGAGTCCGCGAATCGAGAGCTTGACAACGTCACCGAGGAGCCGACAGACATCGAGTTCCAAGAGGAAACCGTCGGCATCAACGGTCCCGTGGGCACTGACGAGAATGGGGCGACCATCCGCCCAGACGATGATGAAGACCCAGATTGTGAAGCAGCAAACACCAAAGAGACAGCACATGTGAAAGCGTCCGAGTTCAAAGTTGACACAGTCGGTACCTTGGACAAACAAGCCGCGAAATCAAACGAACGCGAACCCGACGTCATCGATAAACTGGTCGAGGCGCTACAGCAGGTGCCCGAAACAATGGACGTCGATCCCATTCTGGAAGAGAACGGTCTGCACCACCTGACAAATGGGCATAATGGTATCGACGAATCCGATAGGGCGATTCGAAATGGCGATTCAGTCGAGGCTCAGGAAGAGAGGGACGCTAAAACCGTACTCAACACGATTGTAACTCACGTCGCACAATCGGTGCTGCACGTGTGAATTGGACTAATGCGATCGAGGTCCCAGCCGGGGCTGGAATCGATCTGTCCACGGCACAAGGATGAATAACGAGAAGAGTTCCTTTCTATCGAAGACAACTCATCGTCGATGTCGTCGCCGACAAGGGAAGCAAATACCAAGTCGTCAATAGATAGTTGCCGCAGTGTTGCGTGGCTCTAACACCGGAACTACTTAGTCAAAACGCAATGCGAGAACCCTCCATCGACGTTTCCGGCGGAACCAGTTTTGATGATAGATAATAACTTAATATGCCGCCCATCGGGGATGGGACGGCCGATTCGCTGAATGAGGTCCGAGCTCCGCATCTAGGGGTTCAGGAATATTTTTCTTATTTAACGAACAGGACGATGGATTCGTTGAGGAAGGAAGGATCGTAGCTAGAGAATGGTAGTCACGACGATTTTTGTCGGACTCTACTGTGAATAGTCTTCGCGCGGTCGGAAGTCGTCTATTGAATATGTCAAGCTCACCGACCACGGTGAGACGCGAGCGTGTAACGATGGTCATGTATCGATTAAGAAATTGCTTTCGTACAGAATGACGCGAAAAATTCGTCACGTAGAAACATAGCTATCGAGGTAAGAAAAAATATACATATATGATCACAGATAAGAGTGTGCGAGATCCCTAGGTATTTGTATATAAGCTGAGGAAGGAAAATCTCGAACTATAATAAATATTGAACTGCAACTACACCGCGAATGTCTCCATAGTCGAAATCGCTCTCATCGCGGTGTTAACCGCTCCGCTTATTCCGGGACTCCAGGGAAGCTCGAAGACCCTCCGGGGAAAGTTTAGACAGGAGAGGAGGAAGGGGGGCTCAGGGAGGCATCGTCATTTTCCAACATCAGTTCATCCTTCGTTCGGAGCCAGCGCGAGTTTCTGGCTTCGAGCGAGCTTTATTTTTCTTGACGAACTTGCAAACAAATCTCTGTTCGGAATATAATCGTATGATATCATGACACTCGGAGGAATATATCAACAACAATCGACCCCTCAAAAATAATTGTCATCGTTGCTCGGGTAGATCGCCGTATATGTCTTCTCGATGATGATTTTCAGCAGAATGAGACAGATTGAAAGGATGAAGACGCTCTTGAAGCCAAGCGCCCACACGGCGACCATTAAACCTATCGCGCTGTAGACCACTGACTTCTTCGCGAATGGTCGCAGATGGAGCCGCGGAGGCAGCCGGACCTCGAGGTGTTGGCGCTCGGAAGCGAAGTCGCGTTTCTTTTCTATTTGAATGTACGACGCGGGCGGCAATAAAATACAATTGAAGATCATTACGAGCAGGAAGGCCCCCCATTCGCTATGCTGACGATAATACATATTTCTTATGTGTGACTTGAAATTATCGTTCAATCGATCTGAGAATTGATCTAGATACGGTAGGAGGAACTCGAACTCGTTATCACGCGGGGGTTGCTTTTCAGGAATACCGCGATACCTCTCGTCCAAGCGTTTTCTCCGCAATGACATGTTCAGCGTCGACTCGTCCATAGCTTCTTCCATCATCCCGTCGAGTTCGAGCGGAGTCACGTCGGGAATTTCGATTCGGAATATACGAGCGAGATTCGTGACCGAGCTCTTGAGATGCTCCAGGGTCTTAGTGTCGAGCGACGGCACGACCTGTGGGGTGTGAGCAAATTAATTTCGTCACATGGGACCTCTATGCGTTCCCTCGAACGCGACGCCAAGGGCTTCGTGTATCACAACGGCAACGGTTTTCTTCTAAGGGAGCGATAATTAAATAATCAACTCACGGCGACGATTCCGAGGACACTATCCCAGAGTCTGGCCCAGAGCCCCTTCTCTCGCATGGTTCTCTCCAAGTTCGCGATGCGACCTTCGTATCGACTTTGTCCCAGTCGCAGGCCGCGGATCAATTCTCTGGCGAGATCCCTCCATCTCGTACTCTGCAGGTCTGAAAATTCGACACCCGGCTCCTCGAGCTCCGCAAGTGCCTGGCGGACCGCATGCGGAGTTTCGCGTTCGAGGATGGTGGCGATCAGCATCGGCTGACTGAACACCTGCAAGATTCATGTGTCATCACGACGATTACGACTTAACAGATTGAAGAAGACCCGAGTTCCCGCGAAGCTTGAACCATCGAATCCACCGGAGACATGGGTACCCGTAGAATTGACCTCTCTCGAAGCTCGTCTCGACACCGCAGCCTCCGTGGGTATTGGACTGACCTTCGAAATTCTATTGATGAGGATCACGTTCGCCGGCAACGTCAAATCCAGCACAGCTATCCGCTCAATCGTGTGCAGCATCAGTTGAGTGTAGAAAAGGAGATGCTCGTCGATGAACGAGAGGTAACGATCCCGGATCTCTTCACCGAATTCTTGTGCGGCTTCGTTGGCTGCGTAACGCCATGGCTGAATGAACGTCAACCACGTCTCAAGGGGTAGTCTATAACTGCTGTCTAAAGGCCACGTCGCTAGCGAAGTTTTCAAGCATTTGTACAATCGTCGCCGAAGTTGCAGGTGGCTATTGGTTTCGAAGTACTTTACAGAATGTAGTTTCTTGAAGAGAGTTCTTAAAGCTCTTTGCAGCTGCTGGTTTTCGCCGATTCGAGCGTGGGAGAACCAGAACTCAGAGACGATGTTCATCAGTGTGATAGCCTTATTGTTCGAGTTCAAGATCGACGCATGGCTGAAGGTCATGTTCGTCTTGGAGGCGTCCCTTCGCAGGAGACAATGATGGCCCTGGCCGACGAGTCTACCGCACGGATGGTGACGGTTGCCGCTATTGTCCAGCACGCTGTGATTCAGGGTGCATTGCTCGTCGACATTGAGGAAATGCGAGAGATAATAGCCGAATAAGGAGAAATATACAACGATGGGCCAATTGTTGATGTCCATCCTGAGTTCCGCCGCTTTCTTCTCGAGTACGTGGCCTACCAGCAAGAATAGGAAGTACTCGACGGCGTTCAGCTGCAAGTACTGATTGTCGAGGGATGTCTTCTGATGAATGAAATGTGACGCGTTGTTGTGTACCAAGAAGTCAACGAGACCTGGGGGAAGTCTGTTGATGGCGAATAAAATTCGTGGCGTTGCAACCTCTGTGGTGAGTTTCTCCGCGAGCTGGAAGACGGGTCCCTGTGGACTCAACAGGTTCAGGAGACACTGATATTCGATCGGCGATGAATTCCGATCGACGCTGCAGAGGTTTGTCTGGAAGAGGTTGTCCACCATATGACTGAAGTACATCTGGAGCTCCGCCGCACTGTGCATGTTCAGGTGTCTGCGAAGGAATGAGAATGGAAAGTCAGACCGGTTGGAGCTCGTCTTGAGCCACTGGAGCGTCTGCTTGCCGAACCGGAATCGAACCGGAACTTTCGGACATCTCGATCTCCGAGGAGCCCGGAGACCTGAGATGAATTATTATCTGAAGAAGAGCGCTTGACGTGTTTGGCAGCTCAGACTGCACATGACAGCGTCGACTCGGAACCCGGGAAAGTTCCGCTCGCGCCTGCTGCTCGAATCCGAGGGACTTCTTGACTGGAACTGATCGTTCCTCATGTTGCTGCGCTACGCGATTCGGTCGTAGAATTCGAATCGGATGGTTCCGATACTCACATTGTAAGCAACTCGCATTTTCTCAGCACGTTCGGCTCACGGAGTATGAGCATTGGATCATTCTGGAAATTGAACGCGGCGTTCGCCTCGCTCGTGTTGAAGCTCTGCATGCTTCGCCTGACGGTCGGTCTTATCACAATTGAAATTACAGAATGAGGGAAACTTGTCTGAAATAGCGAATTGAAGAATACGCTCCGGCGCCAGATTATTTGTTGACAAACGAGCAGACGAGTTCCTGCTGTCGGTCGGGCAACCCGTGTTGAATATCCGCGCGGGCGGGCGACAAGCACCAGCGTCCGCCGATGCCGAATGTTCAATCCGACCTCATGAAGCTAACCGCAAACCTCGAAGGCGTCGGAACGTTACCCTCCCGGGAGAATCCGCACGGAACTACTCCTTCCGGCTCCTCATCGGGGTTCCCGCGCTGCCCGGTGAGACAAAGCAACCCCGACCCCTGCAAGGGTATCGGAGGTCAATGCCATTCGAAGGCAGCGCAGTCGATGGTGCCGGTGCGCCCGAGCGAAGAGCTTGAGGTTTTGCACCGAGAAACAAAATTCGCATACTTACCACGCTCAAAATTCGGGGACACGACTCTGTCCTGTATCGTAGCCCCGGATAAGTCAGGAAAGAAAACCCGTCATCTATGAAAAAACGCGTGAGGATTTCGAGCCCGGGTACTCTTTCTTGGGCCTCCGTCGATTCTTAACGCGACCAATTTTATTTTTGTTCATCGAGCAGTCTCATTTACAATGACATCGAATCATAACGCATGAATCCAACTCGGAGGGACCCGGAGCTTCATCTTTTGATATGGGTCTTGGATGATCCACTGCATCCAGCACACACGGTGTAATGATTCGCTATGGATTTCTCAACAGCCCGCGGATGGCGGCGTGAAGTCTCCTATTTTCTCACAGAGCTGGTTCCGGACCAGAAATGCGGCAATAGTTTCAGCAACCTGCGAAGGATTATTGATTTGGGATTGACTAATTTTCATGAGAAAAAAAACGCTCCAACTTGAAGGTTTTCGCTTATGATAGCCACTTCCGATGTCAGAAGCTGGCGTATCGAAAGTGAATTGCAATAATTGGTGACTCCATTCGCCCAGAACCGTCATTGAGGCAAGTGACCTTTGATTGAACCCATCGAAATGGAGCGACGAAGCGTTACGCACCTTATCGGGAGCATCTTCATGGACGGCATGGCCCACCTTTGGCAGAACCTGTGTCTGGAACTTGCCCTGCATTTGTCCGATAGTCAGATCTTTGTCGAGCCGATCGATGCCCGCTAACAGCAGGAGTTTGGGACCCGAACACCGCAGAAACGTCGCGGAAAGTCCTTTGAACCAACCTTCCCAGAAAGGTTCGGAGAGCGACAAATCTATCCGCCATGTGAAGCCCCGTTGTGCCTGAGGTGGTTCGGGTTTCTCAAACTCTGCTTCCTCGTCTTCCGGGATTCCGGTGTCGCTCGCCCCGGAAGCGGCAGGTTTTGGGGCTTCGTCTTGACTCTCGCTTTGACCAATGAGCTTCGTTGCGGGTACTCCGTCAGAAATCCGTTTGAGCATTGCGGGCATCGAAACCTTCGGAATGAGGACAAATAGCGATCAGATGATGAATCTGCGTTCATGAGTGAAATAACATCGATGAAATTATGGGTTTCCGAGAGACCGGTAGTGCAGGAGCGGATACTAAAATTATATTAGTATCTTGTCTTCCGAACATAGTGAGTGAGAAAAATAATCACCTTCGCTGATTCAATGTTCCTGGTCTGGCCTGACCTGCAGGACCATTCGACCGCGTATTCGAGGCTATTGAACGTCTTCGGGCGACATCTCAGAACGTTCTGCATGCTCTGTAGAGCGTCCATGGCCGTTCCTTCTACGACATCAATGACAACAAGCCCCGCTATGACCGGAATCAATTCCCGCGCGGCCACATGCACGGCCAAGGCTCCTCCCATGCTGCAATGTAATTATTTTGTTCGACTTCATCCTGAATTGGAATGCGAAGAATGCCCCCCTCGGAACCCATCACCCACCTGTGACCTATCAGGATTGCTGGTGGCTGTGTCTCTTGATCAGGGAACAATGATTTGTATATTTGTCCCACATCCCGAGCCATCGTTTCCGCGGAGAGATCTTCCTCGTTCTGGCTGTGGCTTTCCCCGTGACCTCGGAGGTCTATGGCTATCACACCGCACTTGGCCATTTTGACGATCTCCATCTATAATGAGAAGTTTTTTCCTGAATTACACAGCTATCTCATCATTCTGTTTCTTTCACGCTCCGCTCTATTCCCGGAAGCGCACGAGAAAGTACCCTCATCGGTACCAAGCTGTATACGTACCGCGAAACAGGACCACGTCAATCCACTATAGCCGGCACCGTGGAGGAGTATCAGCACCGGGTTCTCGGGCTTGTAATCAGCAGATTGGCATCTTCGGGAAGAATTACAGGAGATCAGATCGCGCGTGAGCTCTCAGCTGTTCGATGTATAATCCCCCACCCGGCCTTTATCCTAACGAACAGGTCCCGCAGGACTACAAAAGCATCTCCGTCTAAATATTACCTGTAGACCGTGAAGACGTCGCCTCCGTCAACAGGAATTTCGCGTATTTCCTCAAAGTACTGACTCCATTTCACCGGGCTGTAGTCTTTGCGACCTCTCCGGGTGGGTGGCGGACCGTTCCCGCCGGGTGGTACGGGCGGCAGCTTCGATCGCAGAATCTCTCGTTGTAGCGATGACATCGAACCTTGAAAAATAATTCGAAGAGTTTCTCGAGAAGACTCGATCACGCGGAACGGTCAAGCGCACGGAACCATGCCATGATTGCACACTATGTCTCCCCGCATCGGTGGCCTCTAATCGGAAAACAGGCTGGAGATTCCAACTCGACTTCTGAGGAGCTTCCCTCGTTGTGCTCCGCCAGAGATCGCGCTCGTCAGCTAAACGTTCGAAATAGCATGGGTATCCCCTCTCATCATCGCAATTATCACTTTACGCTCTATGAGTCTGCTGGTGGAGCGTCTGCTATCGAGAAAGCGCTCACCCGCGATTCCAGAATTGATTCCCAGAATCAACGTCCCGGGAGCCCGTCCGTCCGATCGACGACGCTATTGTGTCAATTCAGAGAGGTAAAATCGGTATTACACAACGAACCAGAAATTCAAGAGTCTGCGAAACTTTGCAAAATGATTGAGATGTGAGCTTTTTAGAATAAGAGAAAAACCATCGAATGAAACATGAGTGGACAGATCACCCTTTGGTCGTTGAACGATCATCCGGGAGAGACCTTGCATGTAAACCGGAGTTTCTATCACGCTAATGCCGCAACTTTTCTGGTCGGGACTCCAGCAGAGGAGCGATCGTAATAACAACGCAGTCCGCGATTTTGAAGCACGCACAAAACATGCACGAGGAAACAGTGTTCCCGAGGTCAGAATCGTAATAGGCTTTGAGGTTCCTCAGTTGGGCGAGAAACCCACTTCGTACTGAACGCGGTCGGTCAGCTGATGGCTGTCACTACGTCCTGGATGTTTTGATCGAGCTTCCCGAGTCACGGAAGAGTTCGGGAGCGGCGGATCTCTACTCACAGCGAGAATCCTTGAGATGGAGCTTCCTTCAGAACTTAGACTGTCAGTAGGTATTCTTTTTCGTCGCTAGCGTTGAAGGGGATCGATCCTGCTATTCCTTCTACACGAGCGGTGGTCGCCGCACATTGAGCAGAATACCACTCTATCTCTCTTGTTTCTGAGCGTTTCTCTTCCGCGCTCCTCCGATTCAAACCATGCGCGCCAACCCAAGCGTTCGCTCTGCCCCTAACGGATGTCTTCACGGGGTGTCCCGAGGAGCAAACCGATCCAAGGTCGGCTAGGCCAGTTCCACATTTCTACATGCCTGTGAATTGGCCTGACGCGGGAGCGTATACATGATTGATTCCTCTCTGTAGCACAACGAGGCGCTTCTGACGGGTACAGGTGTTCCTGGAAATGCCTCCGCGAATCGTTAGATCAGGTCTTTGGAAAGGTCTCCACAATATCCCGACGCCGCGAGTAGGTCCGTTGAATTGGCAGAGTCGATCCGATACTCATCCGGACAAGAAATGGACGGGAACCGGTGGCTGGTCGCGGAACCTTGACAGCCATCGCGTGACTCGAGTGCTTGGCGTTCAGCTCTGTCCATTTTAGAGCTACGGAATACTACGGAAACTACGGATAGAAGACTGATGTTGACAATACTTCGAAGCGTAGAGGGTATCTCGGTTTTCAGTTTTGTGGGTCATCTGCGAACCTGAACCGATCTTCTTCAGGTGGGAGCGGGACCGATGCTTTGAGAAATCGCAGACCCGAGATTCGATACTTGCGAAACACCGACTCGCCGATGTCCCTGCTCCCAGCCACTGTGGAAAGCGAATGGAGTCTCGGAGTCGATCATGGACTTCATTCCTTTTGCGCAATCCGAGCAACGAACGCTCCGACCTCGTTTATGTTGAGGAATTCCTCGATGTTGTCTCCTACAGGAGAGCTCGTGTATGCATGCCACTCGTTGTGGATCTGTCTGCCGTGAGTAATCCAGTTACACAGAGACGGAAAGCAAACTCGATCCTCTATCTCCGGGTGTGCCAAGGATTGAATAACACCAGAAAGCGAAATTGGCGATCAGATGAAAGCCAAAATTATCGGAGTAATTGCCGCTGGACCTGAACCCGGAAAATCGCTATCACATCAGAATCAGTAACGTCGAGAATGAAAGGAGATGTCAGAGAAGCGAGTCCATCACGTGCTTGTCGAGAAATTTCGGATCTCATGCCTCCGCTCTTCCCTCTCCCTAATCGTTTCTCTATTCCAACGTGACCGCGAGCAGGAAGATTGGGACTCGGTCCGTCCGAGCCGAAGAAGGGGCATTCTTGGTCGGGACATCTGTAAAGCTCGACTCTGAAAAATGAAGAGCCTTGGCAAAACTTCTAGAACTCATCTCGATTCTTGATTCTCCCTCCGGATTTCTAGCTCGAACTCAAGCAATATGCAGAGAGGGAGGAGGGAGTTCCATTCCACCGCGTGAAAGAATGGCCGAACCGATGGAAATACAGGCTAGCCGTGGATCTTCTGGTTTTTTCAGAGACACTGCCTGACGTCATCGGCACATTCGTCGACCACGAGACGATTCTTGTGCACTCGTTCAGCGATGCAACTCAGAGCAACACCTTTGGAGCGGCGAAAACTTTGATTGGCTGAAAAGGAATGAATCAACAAGTCATATTCAGAAGTTATGCGCTTGCGCTTGAGTCATGGCCAACAGACTTGTTACATAATCTGGGCTTGACAGCGCGGCAACGAAGTCGGGTTGAGAGAACTTTTCTACAATGTAATGTAGAGTAAAGGGTTCGCCTGGCTCGGGTCCAGTTCCATAATAAATCATGAGGCTCCACGAGAATAACGAGGAGGAGCAGAATCGACAAGCCCAATCACGGGGCATCTCCCCGCCTTCCGAGACGGATCTTCCCCACACCCGTGAAATTTCAATGACTCAAAGGCTCATCGAATTCTCCTCGAAACCGCCTCCGGCAGCGCGAACCGCCTGGTCTCCGAAATCATACGACTGCCGGAGCGGTGGCGCGGTGACCATCCCTCGGAAAGCTCCGGATCTTTGTTTCAGCGTTTGAGAGAAAACCGAAACAAAATCATCGGTCTGAACATTGCCGAGAGGCTCCCGACTTTTGCCTTGGTATGGCATAGATTTTTTTTCTGTCCCGGCTCCGTTGCACCACAGTTTGCTCCATCATATTGCATTACGTCTAAGTTCTCGCGATTTCTTCCGAAACGAGAGCCCCCTCAAGCAGAGCTTAAGGCTTGTAATCCGTCCTACAGAAGGTTCAGGTATCGAGAAGCTCGTGATCCGTGATCCCTAATGGCAGCAAACATTAGGGATGTTCGAATACTTCGATCGAGCGAGTGCCATCCGATGGCGGGATGCCCCGGAGGTTCCATGGAGCTACGCTGTCACGTACACTATCGAATCCTCGGCTACATGACATCATATGCGCAAGATGGTCAGCGATAGCGTTCGCGGTGAATTTTCGGTGTGGACTATGCATTCCAGAGGGATTCCTCACGATGAATTCGACGAAACAAAACGAAGAGTAGCCCGGTCCCATCGACAGAATTCTTCGCACCTGTTTTTTTTGCTCGGCTGCTATTTCCGCTTCTGCACGAGTCTATATCATTAGGGAGGAAGATTTCAACACGGAACATGAATCGGCGAGAAATCCGTGTTCATTCATGTGCAACGAACTCATACGATCAAAATTGTTCAGCAGCACCGATCCGATATCGCAGCCGAAAAAAAATTGTATCAGATGACAGCTCGTACTTGGGAGCGCCGGCTCACGTTCCATCTGAAAACCTTCCAGAACTTTCCCTCGATCTGCATGTCGAGGAGGAGATCGACGAATCCTATCCGCATCAGATCCATCAGAGATTTCGAAGGGAGGTCCTGAAGTGTAACCGAGAAAAAACTAGGAGGTTCTCGGCATCAACTCTCTGATCGAAGATCTAATCGGGGAAAACCGAAATACGTTGCTAAGTGGAATCAAGTTGAACTAGAGAAAGGAGAGCCTTGGGAGCACATTTTGACCAATCACCGAACTTGGGTAAACGAGTCTAGACGCACGATCAAGTCGCAATGTCGTTGTGAGCTATTTACATCTACGGAGTACTCAAATGACATTCTCATTGCCAAGAGCTCGCTAGTCATTCCTTGCTTCATATCTCTCGCCCAGAACATGTTTTCCCGATTCGCTCAAGTCCAGCCCTAAGCACATCTAGAAGCCTGTACATGAATGCTCCAGCAATCGATTTCTTGATGACAATTCTATAAGCATCGTTGCAGAAGACCCTTATTGCCGATGACTTGATGACACCGTCACCGGGTAGACTGCTAGTCTGAACGGCGTGACCAGCTCAGCTCGGAGCCCGCACTTCCCTGAAGTCGACTCTGAAGGGTCAAAAAGTATCGAATCCGACTTCGCGCCGAAAAAGGTCTCATTTCGCTCTGTGGGCAGCCACCAGGAAATTCTCTCGCAAAGAAGATCTGAGGCGCCGACTAGACTCCAGAAACAATCCCTTGGACGCCAAGCTTCCGACGAGCATCTCTCCTCGACAAGACTCACAAAGCACTATTGCGATTGAGAGGCCTCAGTTGATGAAATCTGCAGCCGCGGTCCTGCAGACGCTGAATTGACCGCTCCGCATCCAGCTCTGACCATCGAACTGGAGTTGGCGACCTGGAAGATTCCAAGGACCGCAGGCATTTCCTCAAGGAGTGCATCAAAAAAAAGAGAACAGGCGAGTTTAGGTTGGCTGAAATTCAGCACGGCCCGTTTAACCACACTTGGCTGCATCAACTTACTAGTACATAGAGTTATCGCTCGAATATCTTCTGTTGCCTGGAACCGCCGCCGTGAGATTGGACAGAAGAATTTAGAAATGTTTTTTTTGTTTCGCTGAGGAGGTGTTTTCGGAAACTTTGTTTTTCCTCTTATCCAAACAGCTCACACCTATCAATGTGCTCGCTTGCAAGCGTGCTTCCTGACGCTGCTCATTGCAGCCTCATGCAACGGCGAGATGCAGATCCGCATTCCTGGCGAGATGAGGACATTATTAAGGGACCGAAAACTCGATTTCCGCTCGAAATCGAAAGGCTCATAAGTCTGAGCCATTGAGGGTCCGAGCGATGGAATCATTCATGCTGGATTTTTTCCTGCTCCAAAGCAGAATATCGAGAGGGCAGAAGTGCAGAAGTACTGAACACGAAAAGCCCCCAGGAAGTCCACTCCGCATCCTCCAAGCGAGATCGGATGTCTCCTCGCTGCAAAGGAGAGCTCAGGGAACTTCTGACTGTCCCGGCTGAATTATCGCACCCGAGATCGGCTCCACGAGAGTTCCGCCGTACGAGTCGAGATTGTCACCATCAGACTTTGACAGCCATGTGGAGGCAGCTCATTTCCTCCTCATTGTATCGCATTTGGTTATGTAAACGAGCGGTAGTTTTGCCTTTCTGTAAATCGAATTCTGAGCCGACACCTAAAAGTGGTCCGATCGTTTTTATTTCCGTCGAAGGAGTCGAATGGCGCGCAGCAGCAACTTCGCCTGCAGACCGCAGCTAGCAAAAAGAGAACGCAAGCGGGCGACACTCTTTTTTTTTGGCTATTCTTGAGGGTATTTTCGGACCCGTTATACAACCGAGTCATCAACGAACAATGGGTGCTGGATAGAGCGGTAAATTTTAAATCACGTAACACTAGGACGAACGCTCATTTAAGTTAATCCTTCACGCTCTTCCGGAGGGGAGGGAAGATCGGCCGCTGCTGGGCGAGGGAGAGTTCGCGCTTTGTGATAGAACTCACATAAGCATCGACAAATCGTGCCATCTCGTCGGAGCGAGAACAGGTTCACGAGTATCGAGTCCGATTGAGTTCTGTGACTTCCTCGGCAGGAATCCAGCCGTCAAGCTGCTTAGCCTCCACTCCTCGGTCGAGCCTGAGCATCCCAAACCTTCTGGTCGATAAGTTCCGCAGCCTTGGGAAACGTCGAAGGTTCTCCGGCGTCGTTTTTGAGCACCGGAAAGCTTTGTTGAACCCTGGATATTCTCCGGAGCCGCTCGGAGTCGCTCGGCGTCGTCGAGGGTCCCATGGGACCGGTCGGACTCCATAGGCGGTTGCTGGGACTCACCTGAAGATCTTGTGTTTCCACGGAGGTCGGAGAAAAATTCTCGAATACCCCCATTACGGACGGAAGTCCGGTCCGAGGAAGGGGAAGCTCGTTGCGGTGGTCAAGACTAACTACAGTACGCTCATTGCGGGCGAGTGATCTCGAGGCGGAAAGTGAGACCTCACTATCCTCCCGACGACACCGGTGTCGCGGAACGATCCGGGGGGTCTGCCCACTCGGTGATTAAGGACTCTTCGCGCGATTCGGCTTATTGTGTCGAAGGAAAAGGAGGACTCTCGAATTCAGGAATACTAAGTGTGATACACCTATGGAGCTCATATCTGTGGCCCAGGAGTTGAACGAGTTGCCAGGCGGCCTGAGGCCCGCTTTTTCATCCGGGAGAGAAGTGCGAGCGTCCTTGGACTCTTCAATTTTCTGATCGAGACTCAAGCTCGTACAGGACGAATCATGGGTGAGTACAACCGTCTGAGATTCGAATCTCTCGAATGGGTGCGCCTGAACTCCGTGGGGAGTATACCCGTTTCGAGCAATCAGTTGTTTTTTCATTTTGTTTGTTTTATCCTCTCGGCGCATGGCAAGTAATTACGGACATCGATGTCGGGAGAATCTTCGACACGGAAAAGAGGTCGATGTTTTCGGATGATTTCACGGAGGAGGGTACTTGGAAGAATCCAATCCGGCAGCTGAGGTTGATTGTCAACCCCAGCATATCGCAGTGTCGATCACTGAGCCCATAACTTCTGTAAATCAATTCCAGCCCTTGACACAGCAGTCTTGTGAACTATATCAGAAATAGTGAAATCAGGGTCAAGGCTTATTCAGCGAACTAACTGATCAGTTCCCTGGGCTGACAGCTGCGTCAGATTCGATGAATGTGAATAGTCATAATGCGATGTGTCAGAGGGCGGATACCTTCTCAGGACAACATATTGATATTCATGATCCTTCATCGAGCTTCCATGAGCACGATTTATCCCGGATCCATCATAAAGCAAATCCTATCTCCGGAAGAATCCCTTAGGTTCCAGGATTCAAAGTTTCTTTGCGGTAGCGATATGTCACTCTCTCTCCTGCGGATTCTCTCTGAATTCATGACGCTCCTCGATAAAGCTTGTTCACGTCTGGGGAGATCGGGACCTTCACTCGGGGCCTCCAGCGGATTTCCTCGACGCCGACGCTCCATTATGCGCTTATGCCTAGGCTCTAATGACCTCTGATTGCCGAGTTCGCCTCATAAATGTCCTTCGCTCCTGTTCTCCCGGAGAGTGGTGGAATTTTCGGAACCACGATCCGGATCACGTTCGACGGTCGACTCTTATGTCCTCGCCTACTCGAACCTTGGAGAGCGCATCTTTCCGCGACGTTCGATGTTCCTGAACATGAACGCGATCAGAATCTCGCCTGGCTCCTGGACAAGCATCCAGCTGATATTACTAACCGAAACCGACGCTCCGCTGGGCGTGGACGGGGAAACAACGTCTGAATCGAAATCCTATTTAACAACGTACCCCATCCATTCCCAGGCGGGGGAAAAAATACTAATTTCTTCTCCCTCCAACGAAGTACTGAAGAGAGTGTTTGAATAAGAGAGGCGAGCATTCCTCACACAGTTCGGAACGAGCGCTCGCCGTGGTCGCGGGGGAGGTTTTTTGCTGCGGCGTCGGAGAGGTGCGCGAATTGGAAGAGCTGCTCTGTTGGATCTTATATTGAAGGCTATCGAGGAGCCCGCTCATATTCAGAAAGAGGAAAAAAACGATCTAAACGCGACGCTTTCGCTCATTCGCCCCGAAGCAAGACACGCTTGGAGAAGTCCCGCGGCAAACAACCGACGGCCAAACAGCCAGATAGGGTGCTGAGCAAAGAGGCGAGTCACCACTCGAGCAAGCAGGTAGACCGACCAAACAACTCCTGTTCCAGACGCGTCGCCAAGCTTTGTTGGAATTCGCGCTGGAAAGTTTGAGAACACTGAACCGTCAAGACGGCCCCTGATTTATTTCTGGTTATATCGTACCGGTTCTCTCCGAGTAATTATGACACAGGCTCCCTTCGGCTGTTGGCCGCACTGACTCGCTGCTCGATCCCTCCGGCTTCTCGAATCAGCACAGCCCTCGGATCGTTATGTAACTATCGAATTATCATCATTATAATTGTCATTATCTCGAGCCCAACGCATGGGCCCCGCAGCTGTACGATCACAGTAAGCAGGAGAGGCGATATTAGGGACAGACAAGGTCGTCCCTCTTTTGACGAGTTTAATAGCGACGAAACAAGGAATGAGGTGAAGAAACCTAAAAATGAAGCGCGATCCTCTTTGAATTCGAGACCCATCATAGCTCTGAACAAGCGAGCCTCTTCCGAACGCTCCGCGGGCTCCCCGCTCACGAATGGAGATACAATAGAAAATAAATAGAAAATGGATTACCTACCCATATGTTTCCGATCACCGTCGCTCACGAACTACGTAAGCTGACGCGGTTCGCGACTGGACTCCTGCGCATGGCTTCGGTTGACCATTGACATAATCGTACATAGGTAGTCAGAACGATTTCATCGTCCTTTGCGTGGAACGATTCCGCGGAAGAGAAATCCTGGACGACCACATAATTCTCGAGTAGGGCTCGGAAAGCCAACTGACGACAAACTCTCCTATCAGATCCTTCAGCCTCAACGATCTCATGCATTATTCTGCTGTATCTGGTGGGCACAGTTGGGACTCAAGATTTTGAATACGGGGATTTCGGTTATCCGAACGCTCTCAGCAACGGCATCGGCATAGATCCAGATTTAGGTCTACGGTTTGACGGAGGTCCATTCAACTTACCTCAGGAGCCTCTGACTCGTCCGAGAGCGCGCCAGCCCCAGCGGCGACCGAACGTTGTCGTCATTCTCGCTGATGATATGGTGAGTCGAATCTTCTTCCGACTTCATGAAATAACCGCATTTTTTGTAGCGCACCGTCTTCTGGAGCGCTCGTGAGAATTCGTCTCCGGTCAGACGATGGCGGCCGAAGGAGGTGAATGACGAAAGTGTTTTTCCAGGGATGGAATGACGTTTCTTTCACAGGCTCGGGGCAAATCCCGACACCGAATCTCGATGCATTGGCTTCGGCAGGAGTCATCCTTCAGAACCATTACGTTCAGCCATTTTGCACGCCATCCAGAGCAGCGTTGTTGACGGGGATGTACCCGATACACAGCGGTAAATTCCTTAGAGGCGTCTCCGTGGAATCGGCGCGGGATTTCCGGGTGGAGAGTCGGAATCACAGGATATCACTGATTCTCGAATCAATTCGAAGATGAGAGACGACTAATGAAAACAATCTTTTATGACCAGGCATGCAACATTACGTTATCCGGAGTAGGGAACCCTGGGGTCTGCCCCTGGATTTCAAACTCTTGCCTCAGCATTTGAAAGATTTGGGCTATAGAACTCATTTGATCGGGAAATGGCATCTCGGTCAATTCAAGAAGGAGTTTCTGCCCACGCGTCGAGGTTTCGATTCGCATCTCGGATACTACAACGGTTACATCGATTATTTCACCCATAATCACACCTATGTACGCGTATCCTTCGTATGGAATGAGTAGCTACATAAATTCTCGAGTATTCGTCTTTGGATTCGGTGATCCACCCATTCGGAGACTGAGGCTCCCTATCGATGCTCCTTTCCCTCTCCTACAGAAACGAGACAGCGCTTTGGACTTCTTCAAAGACGAAGTTCCGTATCACTCCGAAGAGTACGCCACTAGATTGTTCACCGATCGGGCCGAGGAGATCATCAGAGATCATGATGTGGACAACCCGCTCTTCTTGTACTTCGCACACTTGGCCGTGCACCGAGCCACGGATAGGGATCCTTTCCAGGTGCGCGGCAAATCCTCAAGCTCTCCCGGAAGCCTCGCTTTCCGGGTCGCTTAGGTCGGATTTTTTTTCGGATTTCATTCTTTCTTCCGCTCGCTAATCGCTCAGATGATATCCGTTCATTGTAGGCTCCTCAAGAAACGATCGACAAATTTTCCTACGTCGGCGATCGGAACAGAACGACTTTCGCCGCGATGTTAGCAGAGCTTGACGTTTCTGTCGGTAGAGTGGTTGAAGCATTAGCGAAGAAGGGCATTCTGGACAACACTATTATTCTGTTTTCTTCTGATAACGGAGGCCAAGCCACAGCCCCGATGGAAAATACTGGTTTGTGTCTGTCCGCATTTCCGTTCCAGCCGAAATTTGACAAAACCTCTCCACTGATAGCTCTTCGGGACCGAATGGATCTCGATGGAGTTCCATTCTGCGTAGATGCTGACTGAGTCGATGCTTCAGTACTCGGGATGGAATGCGACATTCTAACTGGCGGGAGCACTTTCAGGGACCAACTTTCCGTTGCGAGGTCAGAAACGCACACTATTCGAGGGAGGCACTCGGGTTCCAGCCTTCGTCTGGAGTCCTCTCATCAGAAGACCGAGAAGAGTGTTCTACGACATGGTTCACATAGTCGACTGGCTTCCGACAATCTACAGTTTGGCAGGTGAGTAGGCTGCCGCTCTCATGGTCTACCCGTCCCCACCCCTCTCCCCTGTTTGGAAGATTACTATGAGAATTGAGTTTGCAGGCGGCGATCCGAGGAACCTCGGCAGAATCGATGGCATGAACGTGTGGGGCGCCGTCTCGGACGGAATGGCATCGCCTCGGACAGAAATCCTCTATAATATCGATCCCGTCCAACGAGATCTAGCGATTCGAGTTGGCCGATATAAACTCCTTTACGGTCCGATGTACAACCTCACCGAATGGTACGACAACCGTGGTTTTGGCTACGCTTCGCATTCCGTACTTGAGAGATACATGGACAAGTCGGCCGTCGCCAGAGTTCTGCGAGACCTCGGCTACTGGTGGAAAGGTGAGCCATCGCGCCAGTCCGTACAATGTCGGATGTCGGACACGTCCACACCTATTCAATTTTAGACCGTGAATTGCGTATCGAGACCCATGCGATCCGCTCCCATTTTCCTTCAAGGTCGCGAAGAAGACTACAGTCGAAGGCCGACGTGGCAATGGCGCGAGGAGACCCGGGTGCACTGCGGGAATCCATCGAGCGCAACAGCGTGCAATCCGAGTGAGCAGCCTTGTCTCTTCGACTTGGCCACCGATCCGTGCGAGTACAATAATCTCTACGGGCAGTTGACTCAGGTAGGGCAGAGGATTCCTTCCTCAAACAATGAGATAAAAGGTACTCCGGGGGATTCCAGTCCCTACCAAATAGCTCCATCTTCCACCTGCAGGTGGCGAGGTATCTTCTCTCGCGACTCGAGGCGCACGCGCGAAGTGCTCGACCGATAAATAACAAGCCGGACGATTACTCATTCCAACCCAATGCCACGTGGGGCCCTTGGATTCGGTGACGAGCGGCTAATCTTATTGTAATTAAGTTATTTGATCATTCCCTCGTGATCACGCAATTTTCCCAGCGCACGGCCTCCGAGAGGGGAGGCATCTTCGCGTAGGCTAGTTTGGGAGAGAGCTTATTTCGCCATTCTAAAATAGAGAACTTCGCTTCACGTAGTTTGGGACACTTACGCCCCGAGAGCCTACTGAGAGTATACTCTTTCACCTAGACTTGGAAATTTGAATCTATTTATATGAGTGGATTTGAGAAGCTATCGGGAGGGATGGTCCGAAGTGCGTCGAAAGTGAAAGAATTTCTTCCCGAGCGAGATGTGGTGGAATTAGGCGAGATAGGTATTGCGTAGAGGCTGCGCGCAGGCGGACCAAGACTGGCTTCCAGATCAACGGAGAAAAATCCGTCGAAGTGGCACGTAGGGAACTGAACAGTCGCGTGGTCCAGAAAGTACTCCCTGCCAAGTGACAGCTCTAACGATTGAGGATAAATAGTAGGACTTCACGGTCGATGGCAGCTCACCGGTGAGCTGACTCCGCACGCTGTATGCGGATGGAATTATTCTTGCGACTTTTCATGAGCCCGATCCTTGTCTCGGAATCGCGTGAGCAAATAGGCTCTCAAGAATGTTCTCAGGTTGTGATAGAATAAAGATGGATATGCCGTTCACACCGAGCATCCCCAACCAGCATGCTCTCATTCTACAACATCTGTCGTGGAGAACAGGGATGGAAATTTCGAGCGATCAGAGATCAACGCTCCGGAACAGGATCGTGAGGAACGAAGGCTTGAAGCCTGAGGAGAATGGGAACCGATTATTGAGGATATCCCTTTGGATGAATTTCTCCGGCATCCTGACTTCTTTCCTCGAAGCTCTCACAACAATCAACTCTTGCATTAATTCAATGCATTTCATCCGCATTGTTTTAAAGAATTTGTACGAATGCGAGTTTCTCATCATGGAGGTGAGACGTCAATCCTCGTTGAGAGGCACTCGCTATCTGCGCTCCGAAAACTCATCGAGCTCCCCGTCGGAACTGGGGACTTGAGGGTTATCGGTTTCGTTCTCTCGGAGAAATCTAAATCTTCAACACAAACTGCCTTCCGGTTCAGAGAGACTTTTCATTTCGATAACGGGAGCTTCGCTGTCGACAAGCGAGCTAGAATCTAGCTATACATTCACGTCGTCGAATCTTCTTCGCCTCCTTCCGGCGGGCGTGGCTACCCTTAACCGATTGATGTTCGTCGACGGTGCCTGCGTCTGGACGGCTGTGGTCCCATGAATACCTTGTGGCCGCTCTCGTCTGGAAGCACCTCGGAGCGGTTACTCCTTCAGCTACAAGCGCGACTGCTTCTTCGGTTTCCTTGCTTCGGCCGCTCCTGCTTCTACTCTGGTACCTGATTAGCTCGGCTCATTGTATTGCTGACCTGCTGACTCCTGGCGTATTAGCTCAACTCGAAGTCCGGTCGAAAGAGGGATGACGGAATAATGAAAAAACTTCTTTCAAACCCAAATATTTGGCGGAGGAAATTGCGCACGAGCATGCTAGAGAAAATTCTATATTAGTTTTCGGAATCGTCGATATGAAGAAGGTGTCTAAGGCCGCGCGAAATTCCACATTTGGGATACAAACTGTTCAAAACAGACTTCAATACTCCGGAGACTCAGATGAGGCCGATAAGAGCGCCAGACTTCTCCCATTGAACTTTATTCTGAGCAGGATGTTGGCTCATCTAATTGAGTACTGAAGTGTAGGGAAGGTAGAATGACTGCACAGGAGTTCGGCCAATAAGTACCTAGGCACAGTGGACAACGAGCGCGGGAAAGGAGAATGCCAACCGATTCCATTTGAACGCGGGCGGATGAACGACGAAGCTATACGACGCTGACGCTCTCCACGTCTCCCTGAACGCATGAGGGGATGATTTCAGGTTTCGGTTATCCCGAGTCGGATAATGACGACAAGCAAGCATTGAACAAATTCCTGTACGCTCAGGCATTGAGAAAGCAATTCGAGGATTCACAATGCCGCTCCCAAGGTATCGCAGACAATGTTCCCTGCGGAAGAATACGGAATCTCAGACCAGTCAAGTTCCATACGGACTTGGCCATCTCATTCCCCGATAGGCCATGTCAACCTGCAGTCATGGCCTCCTTGATTATTCAGCTCGGGAGTCGGCGACCCTCTCTCATGGACTCCGTTGATTACCTGACGCCCCTGAGAAGGTTGCCGACCTTTGATCACCATTTCAGCAGAGATCGATGGTCCCGAAACGATTTCTCCATTCAGAAGTTCTCCCTTAGAAACAGTCTAAACGCTCCCAGCATGTTCGGCCGAGCTAGACCACACGGGTAAGGCTCGTGGTTCGCCTCGGCCGTCCTCTCCTCGTGCATCGATACGGCACCGGCGCTAACTCCGACTTGAAAGGTGGCCATCCACGAGGAAGACTCGGGATGTTCCCGCAAACGAACAACGACGAGGCGAAGTCTCCTGTTTCACAATCGATCGGAGTGGTTGCCCAGGCAAGATGCCAGGTTGCGTAATGCGAAATTCGGCAAGGTTGCGGGACGCAGCGCCCTCACATTCTTTGGGACTCCTTTCCCGAAGTCGAATCTTCCCTCACTGATCATTTCAATCAAGCGTGTCAAGCTCGTCAAGGAAGCTGTTTCTACTGGAAATTCCTCTGCATGAACTTCGAAAGACTGATTTCCGACAAAGAGTCGAACCTGATCGTAAGTAGAATCTCGATTTCCCCGCTGCGGTTCTGATTGCATATCTCTGCCTGTGATGCTTTTTCTTCTCCTAGTTCATCGAGAGCGCTCCGACACCGCCAATTGATGACATTCTCATGACATCAAAATGATGGAATCCGTTGGAACTCTGCGGGAAAGATTCGAGGATTTCTTAGAGTGGGATTCCTGCATCTCTCACACGATCGGGACATCTTGGATCGGTTGACGTGGGGTTGTAGGCCCTAGAAACCCGAATCTTTTCACCGAAGTTCCATCGTGATACCAACGCTCTCCAAAACAATGGGGAAAATCTCAAATGCGCATACCTAGGCTTTTCTTACACACTCTAGGAGCAGAGTCTCCCCATCCGTAGAGCCGCGTCTGGTTTGGATATGATGCATAGATGCTAAACGGATATCTAGAAGCTTCTGAGCTTATCGTTCACTATAGACTCCTCAATCACTGTGAAGTCCTTTCCGTCAATCCACGGCTGGCCCGGTGAATGAATGATCGGGAAATTGACCAGACGCTCGGCTTCGCGCTTGAAGCCATTTTGCAGATTGAGCGACGCCAGGATCCCCCTTTGCCTTACACGTGATCAATAATAACTCAGAGCTTCGTATACTGTGTAAGTACAGTTCCTGTAGGTCGTTCGGAATAAACTTCCTCGATCGTATACAGACCGGATCTGATTACTCTTCTCGTTGAGCCCCAAGGTATACGCCTAGATCGTAATGAACAAGGGTCAGCTTCTTGATATCGAGGCGTCTTCGTCAAGTATAAAGACATTGTTGGATATGATACTTTCGCATGTAGTTTAGGGTGTATGTGAAATACCGAATTCGCGAACATTGCCGAATATCCCGAGGGACAGTCAGGAGCCTTCATGTCTCTGAACTACTCGCTCCCAATCTGCGAGAATCCTCAATGAATCGTGAGCGCAGCAAAACAACCAGGACACTGCAAAAATATTCTGTTTTTTTCCGGATGGCGGAACGTTATCATGCGGAACTTGGAGCGAGTTCCAAAATTAACTTTTTCAGAAACAGTGGCTTCCAAGGACGTGAGATTGAGTTGAACTCCCAACCAGGAGTTCGATGCATTGCCCCGGCGCGCGCACTCATCGGAAACGAACGTGTCGGCATGTTTCACCGATGCCGGGTTGATGATGCGTGTTCTCGCATCTATGGACAGGGGGTTGAGCTTTCCCTATATTCCTTGTCGGAAGCTCGGGCAAGCGAAAGAACCGACGTTGCTTATTGCACATGGATACAGTATACCCATATCCGCATGCTTATAGAGGCGGAACGATGCGAGAGAAACATGAGTTTCCGATACCGGAGACCGATTTATTTCGAATGAATTAGGCGGTATGATTCCATTTGAGATATCATTGAAATCTTTCCTCTGGTCTACCTAGGTATCCGAATTAATACCTATTGTCAATCTCATTCTCTACGGCGCCGGTGGGCAGCCCGTGGTTTCTTTGGATTCGCCAACATCGGGCAGTAACTCATTGTGTGGGCGAAGTCGCCCCCTCCGTTGTGGCAAATGCCGCAGCTGTAAGCCCGGAGCCAAGGACAGCGCACGACGCCCTGGGGATCGTGTAAATTGTGAGAAAGAAATACCTCGCGCGGCTGTCCATTCTTCCGACAGAACGCGCAGTATTCGAGCGAAGGCGTCGCTCGCGGCACCGGCTGCACCCGTCGTTCCCGCACATCAAGCTCTTCAGTACTGGGATATTCCACGGAAAACAGACTTTGTGGCTCATTCCAGGGGTAGCCGGTCTCTGCTTTCTTCCGACGCTCCTGAGCTTCTTGTCTCGCTCGCTCCGGCGCCGGAACGGAGTACTCGAGTTTGGATAAGACCCACATGGCGAGGGTCCATGTGTCGAGGAGGGCTTCCGGGAGACCCCCTGGAGCTGCACCCTGTCCCCCACGAGGAGGAGCGGGACCTCCGGATGCAGATGAATCACATACATCGTTGATGCTCAGTCCCTGGATCTCCGCGGAACAGCCTTCAATATCCATGAACATATCTGATGATGATAGTTCTGCCGGGACTATAAACACGGGTCGTCGGACTTCTGATAGTTCAGTAGCGGTAGGCGGTCTTGCGAAGCGAGGATCTGAAGAGCTACTTATTCTATCCACCCGTGTCGTCGACTTAAATACGCTCAACGAGACGCCGCCCTCGCGCATCCTCTCCTGCGCTCATGAACGATGGCTGATATCTCGAGGGTGAGACTGAGAGAGCATCCAGAGATCCTC